TCAGATCGCCATCGGCTGTCTGTGTTGCCAGCATATCGGACTTCTGCTTTGAGGATGAGGCGTGCCACGTCAACGAAACAATTGGTGAGGGCGCTCTGGAAGTTGTCAAGGTGTGCAAAATGGTGAACGAAGGCTGCAGTGCTGCTAGAAGGATGGAACCGTTGTTATAGCTGGCACAGGTCAGGATGCATAACTCAGCCTCGCGATACCACACGAACTCACCCGATAGCATATGTTTTGCAATCCGACGAGGGAGCTATCGCCGTTATAGGATCAAATATCGTCCGAGCTGAGATGTGGTCGCTTGTTGCAGGCTCGAACAATATCACCTCACCCTTTGCATTTCCTTGCACATTCTCAGAAGACGGCCAACACAACGGGACGGACTCGGCTTACCGAAAGCTACATTACCGTTTCTCATCCAATGCGCCACCCGTAGAGATTCGTACGAGACGAAGCGAGACAACTGCTCGCCAGTGAACAAATCCCACACGATGGCCGTCTGTCCGATATCGTAGGTGACCACCAGTCTCCCAGCCCCGGTCTCACTGACATTATCGGCCGATATCAGTTGAATGTCCTTTGAGTGTTTCTCGAACCGGCGCTCCACCGCGAGCGTATCATGGTGCAGGCACAAGACGGTCGATCCGTGCGAGATGAGGAGAAGGGACGCGGTCGAAGCGCACGGCTCGAAGGGGACATCTTCACTCGGGGCCCGTGGCTTGGGACCCGGTGGTAGTATTACTCCCTTCGACTTGCTCGAGATGGATCTCTGCCGGGACAGACCGGGCCCTGCCGACATGTTCAGGAGTCCGCTGGACGGAGATGCCACTGCCCGGGTATCAGTACTGTATAAAAGGTGGCATCTAGGACGATAGTGCGCTGTGTACCTCTTCCGCTATAGGGTCCGCGACGGGAACATGACCACAGCCAAGTTCAACGGGGGATTTCCAGGGCGTCGGTTATTGGAATCTGGACTGGAGGTTCGGTCGTGGAACCAGGCAAGTGGCTAGCGGCAGGATATGTTCTTTTTCTCGCGGGCGACTGTGGAAGGCTGACGACTCTCGCGGGCGGGCGGCAACGTAACCGCGGAGGGCTCTTGTCTTGCAGATGGGCTTATAGGGATCACCGCACCGATCAGAAGATGTCGTGACCAGGTCAGGAGAACAGGAGATGTCGGCAAGATCGCAGCGGGCACAGGTACCGGACACCTGACCTGATCGTCACCGAGATAGTCCTGCCAGTAAATGAATCGGTGAAACAAAATCTCTCTCTCAGGCTCTGCTGAGGTTCCACTCGAAGCGCAAGAGGGGCGCAGCAGAGCAAGTATACGCAGACTGAGAGCGAGCGGAACGGTTCGAGAAGATGGCGGTCATCTCTCGAGGTACCAACGACATGATGGAAACACGGCTGTGCAAGCTCTATGGCCGGCGTGTTGATTGCAGCCCCGCCCACGCAGGTGAGCCCGCCGAGATTGTCTGGCGTGGCCGAATCATGGCAGCTCTTGTCTAGCTCCCATGCAGGTTGAATCTGGACGGGGCAAATGGGACGATTTGATGGAGGTGGGATGCATCGTGTCGTTGGTGAAGAAGTGAGCCAGGATTGAGGGACAAGGCAGCTGCACGGCCTTCAGCGCTTAGAGAGGCTCGATTGGCTGCACCGCGCCCGCCGTCACACACCCAACGTCAAGCGACGTTGGAAACGGGCGCCAATGACAAGCCCCAGCACACCGATTCCCTCACTTGGACCGTCGGGCATCGACCCCACCACGATGCGGGATACAGGGATGCCTAGAGCTAACGGACCCTCACCTGCACCCTGCAATGACCACCCGTGCGCAACGCTTGCGGGCACCTGGACGAAAGATGTCCACGGTCGGGTGTCAGGTAGCGCGCTGGATGCCTTGACGCCTGGACGCCCGTCTGCATCTGCAATCTCCTGGCCCGCGGGTCCAGCGGCTATCTGGTTCAGAGCATTGGAAGACCCTTTATATCACTGCGTGGAATGTCTCTCGGCTGGGGTCCTCGACGCTGCGGTGGTTGTCGGAGGGCCAAGGACGGAGTAACACCGTTGGTGTTCGTCCGAGGGGACGATGAATACCGTGTGAGTGATACAGCACACGGCCACAGAGACAGTGGATATTCACATTGCACGAGGCTCGATAGAGAGCAAGGGAGGCGTCTATAGTATGTGCCGCCTCCTTCATAGACTCTTAGCCATGGCCCATACATCGTGGCCCCTCGAGAGCACCTCTACGACACTACGCACCAGTTCTTCTGACGATTTCTCTGACGACTGCGCTGGCTATTTTTGTGGTGTTAGCGGCTCGACCGCCCCGCGATTCTGCAGGGCTCTCGCTTCGTGAAGTTTGAGTGACAGGTCTGACTACTGCACGGAAGACAGCAGCCTCCCGGACGACGGTGAACATGACATGCAGTGGCGCCCGAGGACCTTCTCGGCCACAGTTCGAGCCCTTGTGCCAGTAGATCCTTGATTCCCTGCTTCCAATATACATGTACACCGTGCTTTTAGAGTATGGCAACCACGTTGGATGCGCCGGAAAATTTACGTCAATCGCTATGGAGATGCGCCTCCAGCCTCGGAGCGATCCAGTCACCCAGTCTCCTGGTCCTGAGCGAAGCGTGCGGAGAAAGGTGGAATGGTGTGTGACACTGGGACGGTCACTGGCGGCGGTGTGAGGGTTGTCGGTCTTTCACTGTGACACCTGCGATACTCGAGAAGGCGTGCAGCCACTGTTCTTCGTCAGCTAGGGCATCACAACAGTATCGTCATTGCTGTCACCTGGCATGTCGCGATGCATGGCCTGGAACTGCGTCCAGCCCCCAAGCCAAAAGGTCGGATCGATAAGCTTCATGTGTGCGGCCAAGGGCCATCCCGGTTCAGCTTCACTTGGGCGTCACGCTACCAACGACGCTTCTGCATCTACGCGCCCGCGCTAACAGAGGCTTGTCGGTGGCTTTTGAATGCGGCGACCTGCCGATTCGCTCCAGCGCCGACCTGATTTTCGACTCTTCCAGCGAAAAAGGCCTCTGAATTGATCAGCCTAGGAAATGCCTTTCGCCATCCTCGATTGTCACCATGGCCGATCGCCGTGGCTCCTAGCACGTTGCGGCTCGCCTGAGCCCTCCTAGTCTCTCCCGTCTCTACGAACTTGGCTGTTTTGAGCAGTTGTAGTCTTTCACTGTTGGGTAGGTGTCGTCAATAAGAGTCTGCAACGACACCTCGTCGCGAGCAAAACTAAGTTGAGACATCCTCAAGCAGCGGATTGGCTTTTCTGCCAAGTACCACTGACTCGACGGAGTACAGCTCTTGCTACCGGTCGATCAGAGCCCTCTGACTGCTGCTGCCTCTGCCCTTGAACGCCCCTTTGCGCATGTTCCTGCGCCAGCTGCAAGGCACAAGCCAGTTACTGGGAGTAGCGACCCTCCTGCAAATCTTGACTGGTGGGAGCAAGGGCAGCTCTGCACAAGGTTTCTCTCTGGAAGTTTGGTACACTGCAGCAGCCTCGTGTCAGAAAAGGCTGTTCCAGAAGGTGTCACAGCGATGGCTTGCGTGGCTTACGGAGCTTTATTCCCAGCCACTTCGACTTCTGCTTTCGGATCATGCACGGGCCAAGGACCAGTCTCGCAACTGCTCTATCTCAAAGAAAGGAAATGTTATTCTTGCCAAATTGGAGCCATGTGGAAGGTACGGAGTAGGCATGCCCGTGCCCAGGTGCCGGACCTTTCACAGGGCTGAGCGATTTCCTCGTCACACTGGTCGCGACAACTAGGCATGCTTCGTACTTTGCACATCAGGAGACTTTGAATCTGGCCTGAATTTGGCGGTCAGAGTTCTTCTTACACCGCATCTTGGTTGCGGCGATCCCAGTCTTTTGGAATGAGGTGTACATGCTTGCCTTGTGGAAGTCATGCCACCAGCCAGCAGAAAATTCTTCAAATCCACACGCCAGATTTGGCGAGACACCATTTTCATGCTCATGTACTCCCCTGGAGGCCATTTGCCAGGTGCGCCTTGTCGCCGCGACGAACTGGCGTCAATGAACACATGGTATCAGGCTGAAAGGGATCCATGTCGTGTTCCGTTGCGATACGGCTGGAATGCAGCTGTCTCATATGGCCTCTACTGATCATTGCCTCATCGACGTCAAATTCTCACAATGCTGGAGATCGCGTCCATGTCAAATGACTGCATTGGTCAGGCGTGACACCCGACTCTGAGGCGCCACCCAAAGCGGACACTTGCAATAACCTGGTAGGTCGCCACGGGAATATCTGGTTCGAGTCCTTGCGCCTGACGGCAGTCGACCCTCGTCTTCATCCTATGATAAGAGCATGGTCATCCGTACGACTTCATCATCGGTTGTGAAAGATAAGTTCATCAAGTGTCGATCGCTAGCATTCCTGCACGAGCATGGCCTATCCACCCACTACCTGCGACAAACGACATATTACTCAGCTGGCATACAGACGGACTTGCAGTCCTCAATATGGCAGTCGCTGGCTTTGTCAATGGCCAGGCTCATTGTTGAGGCATGTCTTTGGCTCGACAAGCAACTCGGGCACACGTGGCACCAGCTTGCTCTGGCGCTCCTCCGCACGCACCATTCTCCCCTCCGCCTGTGCAAGCTAGTGACGACCCACCGCCACAATCTTCGGACAGCTCCTGTTCAATACAACTCTCAATCCTCGGTAATGGGTCCGAAAATGTGCCTACGAGCCAATACTCCACCGTCAACGACCAGATCCAAATCAGATCACCGAGAGTCGTCAAGCCAAACCCGCTGTTGCCACCTCTGGGAGAAGTGAATATTCCTCCTAAAGCTCCGATGAAGCATTAAAAGATTTTGAGGCATCCAGTGGACGTCAAGCCGAAACCGCTGACGTCCAAAAGAGAGCCTTGCATTCATGCAATGCTATATCCAAAGGCGACGTCTGGTTGCATGTACTTTCGTCCTTGGTTCAAGGGCGTCCGTAATCTCAAGGTGAGGTGGTTTTCGACCCTTGCTCTTTCGCCTTGCGTTGAGATTTCAGAAGATCTTCCAAACGTTCGATTTCCTTGATCATCTGGGATGCGACAACCACGGACTCGTCACGGGCCCGCTGCAGAATCTTGCACTCGGTTTTCAGTTGGTTTACTTGGTTCTCAAGTCGTCGAATGTCATCGTCGACACCAGCGGGCTCACGAAGCTGGCAAACGGAAGGCTTCCTTTCACACTCCTATATCCTCGAGCGTGAGCGGCTCGGTTTGCTTTACGGGGAGGACGATAAACTTACCGGCTGGGACCTTCGCTTTCTCAGAGTCTGCTGCTGAGGAGCTTTACCGCCGCCCATATTCGCTCGGTTATGGCACGGTGAGGAAGAACTCAGCTAGCGGGACCACTTTCTAGTTGTACTCTCCGTCAACCGCCCATATTCGCTCGGTTATGACACGGTGAGGAAGATCTCAGCTAGCGGGACCACTTTCTAGTTGTACTCTCCGTCAACCGCCCTTTCATGCAAAGCCGGAAAAGCCACGACCTTCTGTGGCGGCGCAACCAATTATGGTCTTCGAATACCTAACCTGTTTGGACTGCAAATCGAGCTTTTGGGGAGCGATCGTGCATCCGAACCGACTTGGAAAGTATCTGTATCCAATTTGAAGCTCATATGGGCAAACATTGGCTGAACGATTCGGTAACCCCTTCGCCCCCCCTGTCCTATGCCTGCTTACGTAGTGGTTTACTCAGTGCCTATTTCCAACCACCAATCAGAGACCCGAGGAAGAGAACCTTTTCTTCCCACTGACACTGCTGCTTTAATGGGGATGATATCCTCCGGCTGCTTTTGAGTGATGGTCGACCAGCGTGACCGCGGGCGTGGATGCACCCGAGCAGAGCACGATCCGTTCCGTCTTGCCGGCGGTCGATATCTCCTGTGGATGTCGGACGAAGAGCGGACGAAGGATGCCTTCATGCACCTTGTCGTCCCCGAGTTTCCCCATGCAGGCTCCCCAGCATGCGACGGTAACCTCGCAGATAAGGTGGGCGAGTCATTGTGAAGCGGACGCGGCCATGAAGAAGAGCCTGACCTCCGCGCGTGCTTGGCACAGATGTCTGATCCTCGGGCTTCAAAATCTCAGAGCCTCCTTTCGCTTTGGGGCTCGTCTTTCTAGAGCCCATCTGAGCACCTATCTTTCTGTCGGTTTGCATCAGATGTAGCAGAGACGACCAGAAAGAGAGCGCGAGAATATGTCGTCGACTCCAAACAGTCATCAATGTAGGCTTTGAGCTGGGGCACTCCAGCGGGCCATTCTGATGCGGCACACAATGATCCCTCACCAGAATGTCGCCATCATCCGCTGCAGAGCTTGTGGTCGAGCATGCACCTCATGTCGGCCGCGACTTGTTGGCCGTGCGCAACGGGAAGCCGTCGATGAGTAAGTGTTCCCACCCTGACAGCATGACTATGCCCAATCTGGCTGGTAACCTACCTCGAAGGTCTGCGATTGGCCCTACAGCCCATATCACAGGTCCGCTTTCAAGGTGACTACGCGCGTAGGAGGTGTATTTGAGATCGTTAATCAGCGCAGCCAATGGTCTCTTTACGAGAGTCTCATGGCTTCATCCGATGAACCAGTTGAACTTGCGCAGCGGGGGAATACCAGCTCTGAGGAGCTTGATTTCCGCATCGCTAATCGCGTGGCTGTCTATCGGCCGACAATAGTGTAGATGTGGAAAGAGTGCTCGCTTTGGCAACGTGGCGGTCGTGAAGGATCAGACACCTGGAATCTTCGGCACAAGAGGCATCCTGAACAACCGAATAGCAGGCTGCAGCGCCGGCCCCAGCACCATCGGCTCTCAGATCAATGACGCATGGGCAGCCTGTGCGCAAGATAGACCGTCAGACGCCTTCTGGGGGCATGACATCCCGTACGAAGAGCCAGGCTTTCCTACCACGTAATGAGGTGTCTCTGAACGGTAGACTGCTTAGCCTTTGACGGCAGCCCAAAGCCGACAGAAAGTCAAAAGTGCAAGCGAATTCCCGCCTACCTTGAAAATTCCCAGTGCAGAAAGGCCCGGCACCATGCGGGCTTTTATGAATGTGGAAAGTCGTTGGCTGCCATGCTGCATGAATAGCGAGAATACCGTTCTCCCGGTCCATGCACATCGCCTCAATCACAGGATCGTGGTATCTTTTCCTCTATCCGCCGTTTGGCTGGTAACCCTTGGAGCAGGCTCCCAACTGAGAGTTGAATCATGTTGCCACCGGTTGAATTCATGCTGATGTACAGTTCGTCATCTACTGTGCAGATGATATGTATTGTACAAAGAGGCTGAGCAGAGCCGAGTGAAGACCGGAGAGAATGTGAGGCAAAGCTGCAGACTTGCCGTTGAAGGAGTAACGTGAGATCGAGATTCGGATTGTCCTATACGGTGGTTACTTAGCGACACGGCGAGCTATCATAGACTGAAGCAGCGCTGTCTGTTTTCTGGTCATTGAGCTGGACCCTTTAGACATGTTGTCAGTACCGTCCTGACATATTGATTGGGTGGCTGTGTATACATACCAACGATGGAGCCTGGCAGTTGAGGATCAGATATCTCTAGACCGCAATCTCACGGGGAATTACTCGGCGGGAGGAAGCGCTATTAGTAGCGGTCAAACCTGAGCGCGTCGCTCAATGTTTTTGTCTCCTAATAGATACCCAACAGGATGCAATAGGCGTCTTGTGAGCAACACCCAGGCGAATTCCGAGCACGTTGGCCCGATCGTGTGATGTGTCGAAGGTCAAACTCGCGTCTCCTGAGTCCATGTGGCCAATGAACAGGCTTTGAGGCTGAGTCGTGGCTGAGTGTGGCTGAGGCACGTGGCTTACGGTCGATCATTAAGCACTTAGACGCCAGCCGAAGTTCTAGCGGCTGCGTTGTCTCTCTCGTCCCCAAACTTTTGGCAAAGCTTCTCCGTGCAAGTCAAGTCACCTGCAAATTGTTCAACACGCTGTTCACCACAGAATAGATATTCGCATTTCCTAGTAATCTTCATCTAGTTGCGGCTTTCTCACTGGTCATATTGACTCATCTACGCAGCAGACTTGCGTCGGCAGAGGGAGTGCACGCCATCTCTGGCCAGGTCGCACCTCAACCTCGTTCTCATCATGAAGACCTCAACAATCGTGTCGATATCAGTAGGCACCGTGGTGACGGGGCTCATCGGTTCGTGGCTACCTTCCGGACTGGGATGATGAGGCTAACAACACGACAGCGTATGCTGTATATTTCGACTACAGGCGGAGAAATGACCCTGAGTTTCGCAAGGCTCTCAAGAGAGAATCGCGCAGGCAAGCGAGATTAGCAAAGGAGGAGGCTGAGGTGCAGGGAAAACAAAAGCGCGAAGACATCAAGGCCGCTGTACAAGAAGCCATTGAAGAGGGATTTCCTACGGATATCGAGGAGAAGGAGGCCTTCTTCATGCAACAAATCGCTCAGGGCGAAGCGCTCGCAGGTGATGGTGCGCCTCACTTCTCTCCTCCCATCTTTTCCTAGACTAATTATTCATCCCAGGCTCCGATACTATCGGTGCAGCTCTCTGCTTCTACAAGGGCTTGAAAGTCTACCCCGAACCGCAATCACTGATCGGCATCTACGATAATACCGTCCCCAAAGACATCCTCGAGATCCTCGCCGTTATGGTCGCCCAAGACAAGAACCTCAAAGTCGGCAACTTCGGGGCGAGCAGCGAAACATCGGACAGCGGCCCCGGCGTTGAATAGATTCTTCGACAAGTTGATGACCCGAACGCAATTGTACTACCAGCAAAAGACTTTCCTTGCGGGGTGGCCCACAACCAGAAGTGGTGGCTCTCCTATCTCCGGGATCCCTTCTTGGTGAACTAGTCCGAATGGCTTCTACCGGCGGTCGCATGGAGATTTGAAGAATAGGGCCCCCCCCCCCCCCTTTTGACGACTCTCGCCTCTGTGTACGAAAGAGAAAGCGGCATGTATACCAGGTCCAGTTGAGGGCATGCTCCGATATGGGAAGCAGTATCCACTTGGACATAATTCCATCATCGGGCCTTTTGCTCGGTTGTTTTACTGAAAGTCTTGGGTCGAATTCCTTACTGAGCATTGCAAGCCCTCTCGCATCTTTGTCCCTTCTACGCTTCGCAGAGCTTCTCCAGCCATTTGCCCTCCACGAGGTCTGACATCGGAGTTCGTGGCTGTCATGCTCGCGAAACAGCTGAAGTGCCACAGCTGGTGTGACACAGTCTCCTCGAGTTGATTCGGCGAGACGAATCCCGTTCCACGTCCATCTCAAGCACTTCATCTGCTGCCCAGACATCCTCCCGGTCGTTGCTATGCCATGGGTGACTACTCTCTTTCGCGTTCCGAATCGACACCTGCTTCACCACATCGATTCTTGTGATGGCGACCACTTGCTCACCTTTTCCCTAGGTTGGTTAGCAAGTTTGGTTGTCGCGTATTTCCGACCGTCGCTTAACCGCCGCACGCCTAGGAGCGGATAGCTCCGTATATCGGCAGGGAGTCCATGGCCTCGTCTCAAGCTACCTTTAGAGGACCCGGCCCTGGCAGTATATACTTTCCTTTGGAGTACAAGTCTCATCAGAAGGCGTGGGCCATTACCCCCGATAAATTCCTCCCACAGCATGCAGCACCTCCTCCAGTCTCATACACATCACGGATCATCCGCCCCGCCAGAAGCGTCGTCAAAAGGCCGAGAGCCTTAGAGAAATAGCAGATCGACCTCTATTCCAGACTGGTCTTCAGTCGGACGCAGACACGTAGCATTGAAGTCATCCGGCAAGATGGCAATATCAACTCCTCATCCGCTGGATCCTTTGGCTCCTCAGGAGATATCTGAAGTAAGAAGAGGCTCGGCATTTTTTTGAGAACCCCGAATTGACTCTTCAGACGGCGAAACATGTCCGTGAAGCATTCCCTGACAGCGAGGCATACTTCCGGGTCATCACCCTTGCAGAACCGCCAAAGGAGGAAATGACGGTGTTCCTAGACGCCGAACACAAGGGACAACCGGCAGGCAAGAGGCCCGCTCGGCTGGCGACCGTCCAGGTGTTTTTTGGCGCAAAGCGAGACAGCGAGCACTTCTACGAGCTCAAGGTCAACGTGGACTCTGGGGAGATCGTCCACAAGGAGCAACTTGTCGGTCGACACCCGCATGTGGACGGCAATGATATGGTCAAGACCGAAGCGGCATGCCTCAATGACCCGCGAGTGCAAGCTGCGATCAAGGACATGCAGCTCCCTGACGGTGCTGTCGTCAAGATCGAGCCCTGGACGTACGCAACGGACGGGATGAACGACATGAGCCAGAAGATCACAATGGTACGTTCCGAGTTCTGCCTTGGACCCTCGAACAGAGTAAGCAAATCATACTAAACAGGATTCCCTTCATCGGCTGCAGTGCTACTTCTACATGCGCCTCCTGGACCACCCAGATGCAAACCACTACGCCTACCCCTTGGACCTGTGCGTCGAGATGTCCGGCGCCGTCGAGGTGCTCAAGATCTACTACCTCCCGGCCTCGACGTTGGGTGGGACGACCACAAAGGCCACTCCCTACGACCGGTCCAAGATCTTCGGTGCCGACATCGAATACCATCCCGACGTCGCGCCGCCGCGCCGCACCACGACAAAGCCTTACCACGTCTCGCAACCAGACGGGCCCTCCTTCACCACCCGTGGCAATCTGATTCGGTGGGAGAAATGGCACATCCGCGTGGGGTTCAACTACCGCGAGGGTCTGACGCTGCACGACGTGCGTTACGACGGCCACTCGCTCTTCTACCGGCTCAGCCTGTCCGAGATGTTCGTGCCGTACGGGGACCCGCGCACGCCGTACGCACGGAAGGCGGCGTTCGACCTGGGCAACGACGGCGCGGGCTGTAACGCCAATAACCTGCAGCTCGGCTGCGACTGTTTAGGGCATATCAAATACTTTGACGGCTGGCACGTCACGTCCGGCGGCGACGCGATCAAGATCCCCAACGCCGTGTGCTGCCACGAGATCGACGACGGCATCCTGTGGAAACACACCAACTTCCGCACGGGCCACGCCGTCGTCGTCCGCAGCCGCGTGCTCGTCCTGCAGACCATCATCACCGTCAGCAACTACGAGTACATCTTCGCCTTCTACTTTGGCATGGACGCCAGCCTGCAGTACGAGGTGCGCGCCACGGGCATCGTGTCGACCGTGCCCATCCCCGTGGGCGAGTCCGTGCCCTTTGGGACCACCGTCGCCCCCGGGGTAATGGCGCCGTATCACCAGCATCTGTTCTGCCTGCGGATCGACCCCGCGGTGGCCGGGTGGCGAAATTCACTCGTCGTGGAAGAAAGTCACCCCTTACCAGTCGTCGACGACGACGACGACGACGACGACGACGACGACGACGACGCGCAGGGCGGCCACACGACCATTCCGAATCCATTCCGCATAGGATACACGACGCGACACAAGATCATCGATCAAGAATGCGGCCTCGACCTCGACCACACCGTCAACAGGGTGTTCAAGATCGTCAACGAAGAAGTGCTCAACCCGATCACCGGGACCCCGGTCGGCTACAAGCTGAGCCCCTATTACAGCCAGCTTCTCCTGGCCGACGCGTCCTCGTACCACGCGAAGAGGTCGGAATTCGCCGCCCACGCCGTCTGGCTCACGCGGTACCACGACGACGAACTCTTCGCAAGCGGCAACCATACGATGCAATCGCTGGGTGGGGAGGGGATCGCCAGCTGGATCGACAGGCGCAGGAATAGCTCCTCGTCCTCGTCAAACGTCAGGAACGAGGACATCGTCGTCTGGCATACTTTCGGGTCGACGCACAACCCGCGCGTCGAGGACTGGCCCGTCATGCCGTGCGAGAAGATGGCCGTGGGGCTCAAGCCCGTCAATTTCTTCACGCGCAACCCGGCCATGGATGTGGTGCCCAGTACGCAGGAGGCGAATCGGAGTGTCTTGGTCGACGGGGAGGCGACTTGCCACGGCGGTGGTGATGGCCAAGTCATGGAGAATGGGGTGGTCGTGGTGGCGGCGGCGGCCGACGTGAGGAACGGGCATTGATTGTTTCGAATCATGCTTGAGAGCTCCGGGGCGTTGGGCTACGGATCATGAGGCTGGGTGCAGTTAAGTAAGTGAGTGAGTGAGTGCTATACAGTGCCCGAGACATATGCCGTAGGCCTAGCAGTAGCTGACGACGAGTGCGTGCTTTGCCATGCGAAGTACGTAAACTGGTCCGAACCGTCCGAACCGAGCTGGAATCTGGGCATTCATTATGCTGCTGCTGTGCCTCTGACTTACTTCTGTCTCTGACACTGCCTCTGCTATTACTACTGCTACTGCTACTCTGGCGGTCGTCAAGACCATCGATAGCCCACCACGCACTCTCCTTCCCTGGTCTTTAGTAGGGGTGGGCACGAGAGCCTCTTCTGCGAGGGAGTACTGTACTGCAGCTGTACTCTCATATGCTGTGATATGTTCTCGTATATTCCGTATACCCCGTATACTACACTCCGGGCACTCCGTCATTATTGATATTCTACAACATACAGACCAACCCCGCTGTAATCAACGCCACGAGCCCGACCACACCTATGCCGCCGGAGGGAGAACCTCGCAAGCTCACGCCTCCATCCTCATCCCCGCCACCACTTCCACTTTCGCTATCATTACCATTCCTCGACGAATTCCTCCCCATCAAGACGACGCTCTCGTTCTGCCCGTCGAGATCCAAGTCGAGGCGGACGTCGGACTGGCCGAGCGCCGTGGCCACGACCCACCGGGACGCCACGTCGGTGTATTCGTCGTAGTAGGACCAATGGGCCGTGATGTTGACGGGTTCGCTGCCGACGGCGCACACGGGGTCGCCTGCGTTGCACCACATGGCGAGGATGTCGTCGTACTGGTTGAGATCGGCGAGCTGTTGGCCCTCACGCGCCAGAACACCACTGTACCCCGATCCACGGCCGATGTTGTACGCTTGGTTGACGGTGAAGCGAGGATCGCCGAACGTCACGACTGCGACGACTGGAGGGCGTCAGTGAGAATGTGAGCTAGGAGGAAACAACCAAGGGGAGTGCGGGCTGGCAAAGGGAGGACGGATAAACAAGTAAGCTGGACAGGGGGTACTCAGTAACTATGGTGTACTTACTGCTTGACCCCGGCGCCGTGGACCTGGGCATCGATGGGTTCCACGGCTGGTCACACCCGAAGATTGGCCCACCTCCGCCTCCCAAGATATCACCGACGACACTGCCGCCTTGAGAATAGCCCGTCAGGACCAACCGGGAGTTTGGACATCGTTCGACGTAGGCGGCCATCTGAGTCTGGCCCCTGGAAGCGCCAATGTTTGCCGACTGGCAGAAGAGTCCCGAGTACGAGATGTTGGCCGGGTAGACGACGTCCTCGTAGTCGCACGACAGGCCGACCGACTCGAACAGGTAACACATGACCCCTAGCATCGTCCCTCCGCGGCCCGGGTAAGGCTCGTCCGACCCGCGCGCACTGAAGATGCGGATGTCGTTGCAGTCTTCGGGAAGGTGTGGATGCCCGTGCCAGTAATCTTCGTCTCCTGTGTATTCATATTCACTGCCTTCCTCCGGGACGGGTTCGTCGTATTGTGTTGGCACGGGTTCCGCACCTGGGTCGACATCCAAGGTCGTGAATTCATCCTGCGACAGGACTGGTGTTGCACTGAGGACGAGGGTTGCGGTGACGGCGACAAGGCATGAAAACTTCATCGTTGCCCTTTGTTCGTCTGGAATCTACCTCTTTCGCCCTCCTCTTGAGCACTGCCTCTCATACGTTGATCTAGAGGCAAAGGAGTGTCTATCCGGTAATTGCCGTCCTGCAGAATGTCGAATGACGCCTCCTGCTATCGTCCTTCCCTTCCCTTGCCTGGCGGAATTCTGGGTAAGCTGCTCATGGGCTTGTCGCATGGTATACCGAAGACGCTGTTCGCCTGCCGCGCATAATCCCCACTGTCAGAGGGATCTTGGCTGTCTATCACCTAAAAAGAAGAACCCAGAGAGCGAATGAAGATGCTGATTGGAATATGACAGGAAACTACTGACTGCAACGGTAAATTGAATCAAGGACAAAAGAACACGCACCACACCCGCAAGAGCAAGAATAGGAGAGATGGATCCTCCATGTGTTCCTGAGAACGAGGTACATACCTACGTATGCAGACACAACTCTTTTGAGTTTTGGTCCCCCTGCTTCAGTGCCCGGGCCTTCCGGGCTCACACTGGTACTCCGTACACAGGAACGGTACTCGTTGGACATCTCCCGCTTATTAGCGCCCACCACCCAGAACTGGGGTACTGGGTACGCACCGTGGACTCGGATGTCGCGTGCCAGATGTCAAGCTCAGGGCAATGTCCAGTACAATGTCGCTCGCCCCGGGCGGCCTACCGCAGGGCGGCATAATCGAGGAACCTGACGAACGGCACCGTCTCCACGGTCGAGATAGCACACAGTAGGGTTTGGACGAGAGGACGCTTCGGCGTCAGTTGGCTTGGAACCTCGCCTCAGCCGTTGCGGATGATGGCGCGTCAGAGGCTTAAAAGACGACCCTAGCCACTGCCAAGGCGCCAAGAGAACGCGATGGCGGGGGCGGCGCCGCGCCTAACAATCTCCAACCCTTGCGAACGCGCACTATTGTGCTGTGGCAGTTACGGCTATCGGCACGAGACCGCAGACTCTCCTTACCCGGAACTCGCTTCCTATCAAGCATCAGCCCGTTCACTTAACATGGAACCCTACAGAGTACGGAGTACACAGTATGTGCCTGTATTGCGGTATCGGTCCTACTCAGCGCCACATCAAAGCTGCCGTCATGAGACTGATTTTACTTCCACGACTCTCTCCTTAAATAAGACTGAAAGTACTTATATTAGGCCGTCAAAGAAAATCTCAGTCATGAGTATTCCCACGCCGACGATTACCAGGGCACTCGCTCAACAACCTGCAATTATCGCCGCTGGCCATACTCAGAGACGTTGTGGAAGAAACTTGCGCACTTTGAGTCGACGACGCTCGCTGCAGGAAGGGTGCGTCGACCGCAACTATAGCCAATATGATACAGTACCGGCTAGGGCCACGAGAATCAGCTAGCGGACCGACCAGCAGGTACAGTAGTTTGGAGGCCCACGCCAGCGATCCAGTACTGGTGAAGGCATCGAGGCACGGCGCCACCATGCGAAGCAGAGTCCTTCAGACAGTGCAAACCGTGGACGGACTCCTTGGCGAGCCCCGATGGCCAAAACATCACGTCATGAACGAGAGGCTGGCGATCCTGGGAGTGCCTGTTCTACCAGACTCCTCAGGTTCTGCCTTCAACGGCAACACGAGTTTGTGTGACTCGATGTCGCCTACGCGTAGCAGGCTTGGCCTCTTTGTGGTGTAACATTAGATGCCGGCACAGGTGCGCTGGTGACAAGGGGGCGCCTCAAGTCGTGGCATTCCTTACCAGGTATCCCATATATGTATATATGTACTTATCAACGATGACAGGCTCTTCCGTGGTAAATGACCGTGTAAATAGATATGTCCTTCCCTCTCTCCTTCCCACTCACAGCCTTGAACTGTAATATGGAATGGGTCAAGTAATTTAGGCCAGCCCGTTCCCCGAAGAGTACTGTACACAAGAAGGCAGGATTTACCAAGCACTCACTCGTCGGCCCGAACCCAGGCTCCGCGGCGGCAGGGAAGCGCCCGAGGACTCGGCTCCACGAACGACAAGGCCTAATTGAGATCTTTTGTGCGTAGAGGTTTAGAGCTCAGACTTCGGCATTGTCTGGCTCTAGGACGATCAGCGGAGGTGCAGACGCACCGGAGCCGACAGGTACGCGTCGAGTTGATGAGTGAGCGTCCCGGGACCGTGACCTTGCGAAGGAAGCTTGATAAGCAGAGTCTCACAGTCCTGACCAGATGGCCCTTCCAAACCAGCTTCGGAATACATAACAATCGTCCTCACCGGGCACCAGTCGCACCTAAGTGAGTCCATCGCCATCTTATCGGCCGGCCACGATTCCATCTGCTTTAATTACTCCTTAGTCTCGCCACCGTGAGGAAGATACGTAGCCACAGCGAACATGTCTTGAAGGAGGGATCCTGTCCACATGCCGCTTAAAGGATGCCTCAGCTTTCCCCTACTCGATCGACGTCTATACACACCTGAGTCTGATCAAACATGGTACCTCGTACATGATGCTTTTGTCGTAATCATCAGTGCAAGACGTCAAGCGGAAAATCTCGTTGAAACCGCATTAGCAGGTCCATTTTCGAGTTTCGCCGAGGAGCGCAGAAGTACACAAGTAATACACATGCCCAGAACTTACCCTGCAAAGGGTCTGGCCCTCCGTACTACTGGGTACATCACTGTGTACTCCGTACACTCCTCAACACCAGCACTGTGGAGTCGCTGGCGCTGAAACCGACCTGCGAGGTGTGCCTACCAGAGTCTAGATTCTCAGCCTCAAGCCACATTCCGCGGGGCAGCACACTGGCTCTATTTCATGGTCCGCCATGGCCCTCGACGGCGCCTTCACTCCCGACTCTCCATCTATCCCCTGACAAGGTCAAAATATCGGCATTGGCATCATGGGCGATCCGGTAGGACTGGCTGCCAGTGTGCTGGGCCTCGCTCAGACAGCTTGGACGGTGGCGAAAGGTCTGTACAACCTTGCCGACGAGATAGGCAGCGCCGGCGACGCCGTGCGCGTCTTCGCCAACGATTTCTGGCTGTTTGTCGAAACCACAAAGGTGCTAGGCGACCTGCTCGACAGTCTACCGTCGTCGGTGGCGGCGTCGAGGCGGACCGAGTCGACGACCGAGGAATTGCTCGACGTCGCGATGGACCAAGTCGTCAAACCGTTCGAGACCCTCCTTCGCGAATTGGAGCCGCTTCTCGTCCGGTGGAGGGACAGTCCCAGTCGGATGAGACAGCTGGGCCTGCGCATCCAGTGGGCCTTTAGCTGCAAGAGCAAGATCCTGTTCTACCACGCCGCGCTCAACGCGCTCAAGGGCAATGTGTCGCTTCTGCTGCAGGCGTTGTCGCTTCAGAATACCCCCAATCCACCGCACGTTCACTTGTAAGGCCCGAGAGACTCAAATCTTCCGAACGGCCCTTGGGTAGCATTTTCTAACGGTAATTTTTAGTATTTTGTGCAGGTCGATCGCCGACACCAAATCGGCTTTGCAGGGGACTTCTCGCAACAGAGCTCCAGAGCTGTTGTCGGGGAACGAGGCAAACCGAGATGGGCGTCTACTACTCGTACCCAACCCGGAGCAAGGACCAGTATCGCAGCAGGCAGGGATCGGTCCGAGTGGTCCTCGGCGGCCAAAGTCTGCATCTCAAGATAGCATCCAGCTGTCCACCGACCTGGCGGTCGTCCTTGTTACCGACCCAGACGAGGTCGCCGAGAGTCTGAGCGAGGTGACGCTGCTGGACGCCGATGGGCCGGGAAGTGCCGAGCAAGAGCAAGAAGAACGTGAGGAGCAACTTGAAGCATACGCTGCGATCCGTGCGGTGCAGAAGAAGGTCATCAGATTGGCAGACGAAGCAACAACTGCCGCCACGACTCCTGGCCAGACAAGAAATGTCCTAGAGAGCAGCGAGTCCGGGAGCATGGAAGACGACTCACTCTCCAAACAATCAACCAGAACATCGGCCCAGAGCAGTCCAACCGTCAGCCAGACTCGGCAGAAGAGTGACGACCCCGAGCAACCGCGAGAACCTGCAGGCACAGGGGAAGCACCGAGTACTCGAGACTTGAATCAAGTCATCTATTTCACCGACACCCTAGGTTCAAGTTTCGAGATACCTTATAATCTCGTCCGCACCTGGCAGGTAAGTGCCCCCACCGTGCCCAAGACACTCTCCCGCGATCCTTGCTAAATTTCTGGAGGCGATGCATGCGTTCATAGCTGCCGACTACGACGAGGTCACTTGGACGGATTTGTCAGTCTCGGTGGATCTCAAATTCGGCGAGAGCGACTTCAGGACCATGTTGGCAGAAATGAAAACGGCCACACGCCTAGGTCAGTTCACAGTCGTCTTTGGCGAGACCCGGACCTCCGCGCCCGCTAGGATGGTCCTCGCGCATGAGTGGGACTCGCTTGTAAAGCCAGGTTGTAACGTCGAGTTGCGGCTGGACAAGGCTTATCTCCACCGGTTCAGACGAAGCAAAGACCTCCGGAAACCGTCGCTGAAGATTATCAGGTTAGCCACCACGGCAGCTACTCAGGCAGTGTCGAGCGGTCGTGTCCAGGTAGGACGTCATGGAAGCCAAGAGCTATCACATCCATTGCTGGCGAATGCCGCCTTGGGAGCAAGCCTGGATTCAGCTTCGCAGCAGAGGAGAAGTCAGAGAAGCTCCTTTGCAGCCTTCAGGGATAGACTGGTTGACATGAAGCGCTCGTAGTGCCCTGGCTAATTGCGCCGGAAGAAATAGGTCAAGTTATACAACGTTTCCGGATGAAGTTGCGGTAGGCATGTTTGGTAATGCTCATTGCCGTCTTGCCGGCAACGTAGACTCTCCTATGCAGAGGACGATTCAAACGCACGCCACCTCGGTCACGGATACACTTGTCGAGTTCGTCCTGAGAAACGGCAAGTATCTTGGCCAGCCTGGACCGCATCTCGACTCCATCCTTGATCATGGGCGGATAGTGTTCACAAACTCTGCACACGAGCTCGGCAGAACCGATCGTGTAGTCCGGGAAGAGCTCCTTTCCACTTATGAGTGGCGCGGAAATGGAGAGCATGGCGTACACCTTATCTCTGACGTCCTGGCATTGCAAACCGCTGAATTGCTCGATGTGGTCCATCAAGGTTGTGTTGATCTGACGAATGTTTGCCGACAGGTGCCACGCTCGCCGTGGCTCATCGAAGAGGTCGAATTTCCATGAAAAGTCTCCGTCGTGGCCGCACAACTCCGCGAAGAGTCGGAGAGCACCCCAGTCGATGACGGCTTCACCGTAGTGAACAGAGATGGCTTGGGCACTGACGATCTCTTGAACAATCCACGTTCGTGACCAGTAGGACTTTCCGACATCTGATGCGCTGCTCTCTTCTTTGACGTGGTTGGAATGCAGAAACTGGCGCCGAACGCCCACCATTTTCTTTTGGTAGCTTTCGCCAAGATCGTGTCGCTGCCGTCGTCGACTTCGCCGAGCCAGACGAGAACGCGCTCTGCGCCCGAGAAGATCTTGCCCATGATGGACACCTGGGCACCTTTTTCGTCGTTGTTTCTCTGATCGATGCATATGGCGTCGACCCACAAGTATCGAGCACTGGTGGTCTGGCGGAGTCGTTTGAGGCAGTCGTAGAGGTTTTTGCGGACACGGAGCTTCCGTGAAGATTGCCCGTCTTCCCCACCCATGATAATTTCTTCTTCGTCGACTGCGTCGCCCCATGTGTACGAGATTGCCTCATAGCTCGGGCAATACCCATTGATGGAATAGGTGGCGAGCTTGAGTTGGATAGGGGCGTCTTTGGACTTAGCTGACAAGAGTTCGATGAGTCTGATGTTCTTCGTCGGATGCGGAAGCGGCTGCCAGCAAAACTGTAGATTTTTAGCCATCTCAACTTAGGGACTTGATGATAGTATCGGCGTTGCATGACAAGAATGCGGCGTCTGGTAGAACAACTCTATGTATGTGCATGCTTGCACAGGCTGCGGCTGAGGAAGTAGCGGTGGGACTCGTGGTGATGAGAGCCATACTCGGCGATTTGGCACGAAAGGCCAGTTCTCGACCTTCAGCTGTATGCATAGAAGTGTATTGCCCTTCGCTTGCCACTGTATGCAGGGCACGAGCATCTGCACGGCGTCTTGGTCGAGACCGTAGGGAGGAAAAGAATGCCGCGCATGATGTCGAGGAGTGGAAGACCTGAATTTTGTATGAGTGAGGTATGTAATCGTCGCCAGTCGTTCTGATCTCACAAGCGACCGAACCAATCGGGCCTTGAATGCTCATCTCGCTTCGTCTTCCATGGCTCGGTAGAGAACATTTCTAGGCCCTGGGGAACGTCAGGATCTTGTATCTCCAATTTCAGCGCGGAAACCTTTTACGGTCGCACTTCGATACAACATGCAAGTAGAAAAATAGGTCCAAATACGTTAAGTTCATGCGAACGAAATTCAGGATGACTATCCTTCATTCAGAGACATGTGCCTACTCAGGTATCTACATGTACGCAGTGAACCTCGTCTCTTTCAATGCCAAGAGTGACGTCGTCTGCGTTTAGGCACCACGCCGTTGTGCCCAAGAGAAAAAGTAGTATAAACCTTCGTTCTGGTGCTCTTGAAGCAAGATCCAATATTTCATCTTTGCGACCCGTTCGCAGGGTAGTCATACACGACATCCGGATGAACATTGCGCACTATGTCATATATTGGCACGACGCACTGGCTGCACCTCTGTAGCACGGGTCGTCCTCGCATTATCCGCTACCTAAGTTCACAAGGCTAGCCACGCGCAGAGTAGGTACCTTACTCACTCATATACTACACACAAACAACGTGTACTACGACGACAGCAGCGCCTTCAACAACTGACATGATGACCTCTTCACATCGCGCGGCCAATTCCCCAACCACTCCCTCCCATCCCGCACACACGCTCGTCGCCCGCGCACACTCGCCCGATGCCGCGAGCCGCATCTTTGGCGACAAGATCAAGAACAAGCCCCTGCTCCTCAACCCGACGGCCTCGGCCGACAGAGACAAGCGTGCCCTTCGACGCCACGTCCGACTGCGCAAACGGGAATATTACCTGCGCAAGAGGAAGCCACGGCCGCTAAGCGCGAAAGAAAAGAGAGAGCTAGGCGTGTTCGAGCTGAAGAAGGAGGAAATGAGGTATGAGATTTACAAGGGCCTACATCGGATGTGGGTGGACTATATGCTCGAGGTGCTGGGGTATGTGAAAGACGGACAGGTTGTGCAGAGTTTCGCGAAGACAGTCACACCGCAGGGCCACGGTCCACTGTTGGCGAGCGCGGACTTTCATGGCGCAGACCTGGAGGTGGTCCGGTGTTCAGATGCGGGGAGGGTGGGCACCAAGGGGATTGTAATTCGGGATACCAAGTTCACGTTTGTGCTTGTTACGCCGAAGGACGAGGTGAGGGTGGTGCCCAAGAAGAATACAGTGTTTCGATACGAGATTCCTTTGCCTGAAAGTGGTGCTGACGGAGGGCAGCAGGGAGATGAGGGCGAGAGGCAGGGGCGAAGCTTGGTGTTTGAATTACACGGGAACCAGTTCGAGTTCAGGCCTGCGGACAGGGCGAATCGAAAATTCAAATGGAAGGTGACGGACTACTTGTGAAGGGGAGTTCGATTGCTGGACTCCACAACCCAATCCTTATTACAGCCCGTGGGCTGTTGGCAGCCATGTCCGAGGTCGAATATGCAGTACCCTGCTCGCTGGCTCAGCAGCTCGTTACATGGCCGCCCATTCGACACTAAAAGTCCTGACACCACCTCCGGTTGGGTTGGCGCCACCTAGCAAGAAACCTTTCTTCACACCGGTACCCAGCCTACCCCCGCCGACGATATCCATGAGATCGATCTCTTCATCCCATTCCGTGCCGATGGCGAGGAAGTGAGAGTGAAAGCGGAGGGGGTCGCCCGGATAGACGGTGTATTGACACCCAAAGCGAAGGCCCGGCGTCATGAAGAAGCCCTTGTCATGGAGATGTCTGTACAGAGGGTAGCTTGGAGGAAGGTCCTCGATCGTCGACTGAGGTGCAGAGAGAGGGTGAGGGAGAAGCAATCGGGAGGTCGCAGGAGTGACTCGATAGGAACTAGATGTTGCGGTGAGAGGCAACACTTTGACGGGAGAGACGTCTTGAACGACTACTTCTTCGTCTGCTGCTTGGACTTCTTCCGCGCCGCCGTGTGGTGTGACAGCTTCGTCAAAATCAAGCAGGTCATTTGCTGGGTCAACTTGAGTAGATCGTGACGGATGGGCTGATTTCTTAGATTGTTTCTCAAGACCACGCCTTTTGGACTCCATTTTTTCCTGGTCTTTAGCTTGCTTAACTTGATTAGATTGCTTCTCAATTCGTGCGAGATAATCCGCCCTTCGAGCTTGATCCCCCGACCGCACAGCTTGGGCGTGAGCTCGAGCGTCGTCCGCAATAACTGCTATGTTCCGTTCAACAAGTAGCTCGGCCTCTTCTGGCATGATCTCGATGGGCACACCGAGGAACAAATTCTGAGATGGAGCTATGGGGAGGGTGCCGAGAGCGGTGCCACATATTCGATGCTCTCGGCGAAGCCAAGTTACTATTTTGACATCGAAAAGGAGGTATCTGCCTCCTACCAGTGAAATGGCCACTGGCAAGTCCGGCGAGAAATCGAAGCTCAGATCTGAAGAAGCGTTCATCGCCCCAGCCCTGCGTGGTTGGCCTGGAATGTTTGCAGTCAGCGACCTTTTCGACTGGTTGGGCTGAGTGGTCAAATTGACGGCGAGTTTGAGGGATCATATGTTGACATGAATTTCGTTTCAATCACGTGGCTTCCGAAGAGGCTCTCAGGGGATTGACAGATTATGAAAAGTTGTTCTAATCATGCAAGGCACAGTGGGTGGTAGACGTGGAAGGATTGACTCACCAATTGGGCTGAGGGTCCGTCTTGAGGGTAGCGAGGATGCTATAGCATAATCCTTACGCTTCCGTAGACGTGCGATTGATGAGGTGGGAGCTCGAAGGCCAGCTTCAAGCGGTGGAATGGGGTCTACATGATTTGTCTCTGTTGGAGGGTGAAGAAGAGAGTGAGTGGAAGGGGAGAACGCAAAATTCAAATCGGCGTGCCTGACAGAAATGGTCCACCTGCCGAGCAAGCGCGGTCAGGCAAAGTCATATTCTGTCAGACACAGAACCAGGCCAAAGCCAAAGCTCAACCTCGTCTCTGACATTCAGCCTCGTCCGTTTTCTCGTGTCCTCGTACTTCGGACGGGCTGCCACTCCACCATGGGCATTCTTCTACTTCTGTCCTTACTCTTCTTTATCCCACTATTCTTCTTTCTTGGTAAGTCTTGGTGGAGGCCCGCTTGTGCTGGGTACTGATGAGGCACAATAGCTTTCCTTGCTCTGTCATCCTGTTTGGGTGACAGATTTCGTGGGCGAATCTCTGGCTCTGCTGTCCGCCATGGATCTTACGACTCTACGTACTTCCGGACCATGACCAATCCGGGACCTTCCTCCTCCGAGCACATCGAGATGGAGACTATGCTCAACAAACACGGATGGCACTCTGAGGACGAGATCTGATGACTCCTCATGAGAGCCTCAAAATTCCACGTCAGATTTCTTCGTTGATTTGTCCGAGTCTGCTCTCTGTTGAGCATCTGTGTCACCTTCGATGGGGGGCAGGTTGAATGGCTTGATGGTGAACTTTCTCCGGCTGAGAGTGAAGGTCCAGTCATTCTCAGACGTGCCAACCCCACTGCCACGGTCGTGCAGCATTGGCAGACGATGAACTTGCAGCAGTCCTTGCGGCGGCTCTTCTGATGTGCCGGAGGGACCACGAGTGGCGTTGCTATCACCCTCGGCGGAGTGGGGAAACGGGGCAAGCTCAAGAATGCCATCGTGCAGGAGTTCCATCCATCTGACGAGTCCAGAAGACCTAGGATACAGTGATAGTGGGAGTGACATCATCATGGTCAGGCGGTCTGGAAATGCGGCGAACAGGGCACGGATGCCATGCATGAATTGGAGGATGTACTGTGGTTGACTTGACCATGGGGGATAAATGGCTGGAGATAGCATCGAAGGAATGACGATGCGGTGGACTGTATTCGGCGCCGAGCTTGAAACAGACGCTTTCAGCTGTGCGAGGACGGCCGTCAACGGTGACTGTGTCGGGTTGGCACCTAATGGAATGAAGGCCAATTTGGCCGAAGCTGGGTGGATAAGCCTCTTGGTAAGATCGAAGGTATGGCAGAATGTAACGGATGCTCCCTGCCCGGTTGTCCCGCCCTGTGGGCTTCCCGGGGCCTGCGATCGTTCTGCAGGAAGAAGAGAAATGGTCAGTGTTGGTAAAGAATATGGATGAGATGGGTTCAGATCGAATTGGATTGGGGGTCTAGCTATGCTACGAGGACAAATATGCCCACCTCTTGATGACGGGTTTGCCCCAAATTGGCCCAAGCTTTCGTATCTCCATGCGATCTTCATCTTCTCGGTCTCCGCCGGTGTCTCTCTCATTTCGCTCTCGCCCACCACGCCCGGCAATTCTCGACCCCAGTGCTCTGGTAACGCAACGACGTGAACATGGTGACCCTGCAGTAGACCTTCAGCAGCATAGAATCTCAACAGCGCGCCGGCATAGTCCGTCGTGCCGCTTTCCTCAATCAACATTGAGCACCCGAGAGCAAGTCCGGAATGTCCTGCTAACAGTGCATCGAGGCTGGCGGTGCCGGTCGACGTCGTTAACCGTCCATCAACAGGTGAAGGCCGTACTCCGGGCAGTTGAACCAGGGCTTTGCTGAGGACTTGCGGAGAGGCATCCGACCGTGTTGAGCCTGAGAGGCCTACATTGCGCTTCCGGAACGACATTAATGCTACATTCGGATCGTGTGGGTGATGTACGCAGTCCTGATAGCAGAGAGAAGACAGTGGTCTCAAAAGACAAAATTCATTTTTCGTTTGCGCAGAATTGCCGCAAGTTCTGCCGTACATACTTCACCGTACATACTTCACCGTACATACTTCACCGTACATACTTCACCGTACATATTTTCAACCAGGAAATTCTTTCGAAGGACGCGACCTTGAAGTCCTGCTGCTTTGCGCCAACTCTCCTACGATCTGCTCATCTAGCACGCCAGTGTCGAACTCATCGCCAAGATGTCTGAAAACATACTCTTCGAAAACAGCTTCAAGATCACAGACATCAATAGCGCAAAGTATGACAGAGTCTCCCGCATCAAGGCCTACAGCGAAGGCTCCCAGGATATTCTTCTTACTCTCGATGTCAACACCGAACTCTACCCTCTGAACGTCGACGACCGCATGACAGTCGCGTTAGCCGTTTCTCTAAACCTCGACGGAAGCAAAGACGACGGGAAAGGGTGGAGAGAAGTGGGCAGAGGCGAGCAGACTCTGGCCGACGAGTTTGACTATGTCTGCCATGGGAAGATCTACAGGTTCGAAGAAGGCAGCGGAGACAATATGTGGGTGGCATGGAATCACTGTTACAGTGGCAAAAAGACTGACTCTGTGTAGCAAGGTTTACGTCTCCTTCGGCGGCCTACTTCTGTATATGGACGGTCCTTACACCCTTCTCAACGCGCTGAGGATCGACCATGTCTATCTACTCATGAAGAAATAAGTGGGCTTGGTATTGAGCTTGCGGCAAATGTCTTGCCTGGTCGACTGGAAAGCACAAAAAGTCCATTGAGCGAAGGCGTTGGAGGATCCTGCTTTCTTACACCAAAATCAGGCCGTCGGGAATTCCAACTTTCTATGCAGTCTTGTAACGATCTCGATATAGTCGGGCTCGTTGGCCGCCGTCAGGATCCCGTGTCGTACGAAGAATTCCAGCAGCAGGTGAGCACAGTTTGGCTTGAATCGACCTTCGGCCATGGCTCTCTGAACCTGTTTTACTGTCAGCAGCTGGAAATCGATCGCTTCATCGTCGCCGGGCTTCGGTATCGCATCTGGAGGCATCTTTAAGTCATAGATGTATTGGCACTCCGGTTGACAGAGCCCTGTCTCTCCACCAGCTCTCGAGTCTCGAACATGGAAATATGTCAACGTCCCGCAAGCCTGCGCAGTGCGCACAAGATCTTCCGGCAGTGATGCTTCCTCCTCACACTCTCTGACCAGACACTCGAATGGCTCCTCTCCAGTGCTCAGACCTCCCGCGACTGTGTTGTCCATCATTCCGGGATAGGTCTGTTTGGTCAAAGCCCGCCGAGGCGCCCAAATCTTGAGACCGTCGTCAGTCTCCACATACCCTGTCATGTGCACGCCATAAGTCACGACGCCGAAGAGCGGCGTTGCCGACCGTTCCATGCTCAGCAGGAGTTCTCTGTTTGGACCATATATCGGGTATCGCTCGTTCCGCCAACCAGCCAGGACAGCAAAGATGCGCTGTTCTCGGACGTGTTGCAGATATTCCGCTAGAATGGCATTGCGCTTGTCGAAATCCGTCACGGGTGCTGCGGTTTCATCTCGTGGCTGGAAGATCAAGCGTTTGTTCAATTCATCGAGCCTCCAGTGTTGAGTGAGCGGGAATTTCTCAGCGACAGCCGAGGTCATGTACCCCAGACAGGCGTCACAGCCTTCTAGGTAGAAGTGGTAGTAGTCATTCCAGACGGCCTTGAACTTTTCAGGATCCTGTGCATGGTATGGAAAGCTGCGCGGTCAGTCTCGAGAGCACAGCAGACCAGATGTTTGAATTTGACTCACTTGTCGCATTCGTTGGCCAGGTCCAGATTCGACTTGTGGGACATCTTTAGCCAAGGAAGTTCAGTGATGCCTTACGCCTGACCACTGTCTTTGCTGTAGCGTGGTGAATGGAAATCTCGCCGGCTGCTCGAAGCTCGAAAGGGCAGATTTGTCTCTGCGTCCGAGGTTGTCGATACTTTTCCTCTCTCAGTAATTATGTACTAATTAAATTACCGCCGACCATTTGCCTCATAGCGCACGTCAGTCAATCAGTCCCTGCGTTCAGCCGCAAACCTGTGACCGTCGAGGGACCCGCCTTAAAACACCTTCCCAGCATGATCTCGTCGTTTTCCAAGGTCACCACCCCGCGGTTCTGGGTCTTCGAGCAGGTCTCACTGGCGTGCGGCACGAATTGAGCGTGCGGACAATGCACTGACCGACCGACCATGAACTCAACCTGATGATCTCTGCTCCATTTTCCTGATCATGCCTTTGTCTTTGTACATTTGCGACCCGTTCACAACATCAGCAAGCAAGCCATTCATCCCACGACTGTCTAAGTACAGCTAATTGCAATATCCCTCCTGGTGGCCACCCCTCTCCGTCCCACCAGATTTTTTTCAAGTAATTAGGACCGTCGGCGTCACGTCCCACTACAGTATAGACCCGACCAGCAACCATGTTCGGCGTGTTCGTTCCAACCCGACCGGTCATCCCAGAGATGGCGACCGTCGGCCCCAATCAATTCGCCGTCTCCTTCCCGGCGACACCTCCCTTCCACAACGTCGGCGTCTTCTTACACCCGAATAGTCCTCTCCCCCCGGACACCGCAGCGGGAGTGTACATGCAACTGCCCGGCGCGCCGGGGTTCCGCTTCCTCGGCGCCCTCGCCAACGAGAAACCCTCGGCCTTGTTCCGCGTCAATTTGCCTACCACCACCGCCGCCGCCGCCGTCGGGGACGTCAACCTAGGCGTCTCGGTCGAGCCGGTGCAGAACATCCAGGCGCAGATGGCCCAACTTCAGCAGCAGCAGCAGCAGCCGCTGTCGCCACTGTCGCCAACTTCCAACAACAACGACGCAGCACTACCCAAACGACCGCCTCCGGATACGAGAGTGCTGGCGCAACGAATCATCAAGAATGCGTTCAACTTCCTCGCCAGTTTTGCCGGGAACACGGCCAACGGGATCGAAGTCGTGCCGTTGAAGAGTTTCCAGGACTGGTGGGCCAAGTTTGAGAGGAAGGTGCAGAACGATCCGGGCTTTTTGGAGAGGGACGAGGAGTGAAAAACATGGGGCAAGGGGGCAAGGGGGGCTAGGGTTGAATGTATCGCTTCCGAACGTGTACATGTGTATGTGTATGTGAAATGTGAACGTGATTGAGTATGCGATTGCGACGGCTAGGAGCCAAAGGAGCAACATATTTTGATTCCACTGCACGTGGCTACAGACGTGGCTGTCAAGGCAAAGCTGAGAAAGGTCGGTCGGCCGGACAGAGATATGGACGTGGTTGTTGTTGTTACAAGGGAACCAGCAGTATCGCCCAGACAAAGGCAACGCCGCAATCAACAAGTACAGAACTTCCGCACAGCGACCTGCGGCCAGGTACAACCCGCCTCTCGACAGCGGTCACCGTCCCCACCACGGACGCCCAGAGGATGCACACCTTCTACTGTATGTACCTTGTATGCTAGTTGGTGCCAGTACAGTCTCTTGGGAGCCTGGCTGACGATGACTTGACCGAACAAGGCCAAGCAAACTCAATCACGCGTAGGCTCGGGGGCCGGGACCCATTACCAATTCATCGACAGGATCTCCTGCTTGGACCAATACTTGCGCATGTTCTCTGCGCCCAGCATCCTGACTTCGTCGTCCAAATGCGCCCAAAGAACCTCTCCAAACGTATCCATGACGGCCTTCAACTCGGGCAATCGCAATTCCTTCTCGCCACTCCTACAGCTGTCCAGGTACTCCTCCATCTTCTCCAGCCCTTCGTGGATGGCCTCATGCTGCGATATTAAGTGGTCCTTGGGAGCGAACCCGGGCATCCGCTCGGCCAGCTCGGGGAAAACGTGCTGCTCCTCAATGGTGTGGTGGACCGTCAGAGCACGGCAGAAGTGCAGGCCCTGCGAGATAAAGGCACGCAGGGACATGCCCGCAGGGCGGGAGCCAGTCTCGCAGGTCTTGTACAGAATGTTCCAGGTGTAGCGGAAATGGTTGTGGTAGGCTTCCATCATGACAGCCAGCCTGTTGTACGTCCTGAAGTCCTGGGTGGACAATTTGGGCAGCGCGGGTTCGGCGTTGGATTTCTCGGCCAGCGTCTCAGCTGCTGCGGCTGATGCAGATTCGGCTTCACATGATGATGCAGATGCCTTTTGTTCGGCGGCGGCGGCGGCGTCTTCTGGGACGGGAGATGTTGACGCCATGTCGGTGGAGGTGGCGACCGAGGAGATGTGCTTTGCTTGGACGATGTTTGACTGAGAAGCTCCGTTTATGGAGTATAACGACTGATGTCGGTCGGGTGATGAAGTCGAGGTCGAGAATGGCGGGGTCTCTTGGATACGATTCCCCCGTTGAAAGAGCACCGTACTGAAAGTCCGGACGGGGAGTTTTATCTTCAACGACTGAAGTCTCTTGGTGGCGTTCCGACGTGCGTCTGGTGTTGACAGGGTCAAGGCAATCGCTATCGCTATCGCTAGCATCAAGGTACTAAAGAATGGCAATGTCCAACGTCTCATATGAGTGACTCCTAATGCGTCAATCAAGTCGTCTCCTCCGAGGTCCAGAGCAAGACTTCCCGCTCCCTATGGGCCCTTATGTGGATGTTGGCGTATCAGATGGCAACCGTCCAAGGCGAATTTGAGCGTGGGATCCCGCACAAAAGTCGCCCTTCAGCATTGTATAGCAAGCATGATGAGTCTGGAAGGGAGACGGGGCGAGTTGTGTCTGAATAGGATCAGGCAAAGAGTAGGGAATGACAGGCCGCAAAAAAAAGCAGGGAAGATAATGATATCAAGTCTACACGTTTGCCATCCGACATTTGTATCGAGCGAAGATTGAGATGCAGCGAAGCCAGGGAGCCAATGAGCGACGAGCTATTCACGGATACGCCCGGCCCGAGCCAATCGCAGATGAAAGTCGCCTCGCGTGTCATGTGATCTCCGGCATTTCTCGGGCGAGACCTTTTGCCGTCGTCAGAGTCACGGCACTGGGAGCATCTGTGTGGGCGTCTCTTCAACTCATTCGAGTCCGAGTCCGAGTCATAAACGGTAGATTGCATCAAGCTGATGGGACAGGGCACTTGCTGTTGCACTAATCATTTCTCATTTGTCATTTACACGCGCGCACTACCTAACAATATGCATGGTATTATCCGGCAGCGCCAGTGTCCTGCGTAGCCCAGATGATCATCGAGGCAGAACACTGCAAAGGCTTTTGATCATCCCAGCATAACTGATTTCCATGCTCTGCGTTTTCGTGCTTTCATTTTGGACCATTACCACCACCAACGCTCTGTATCATTTATCCAAAGAGAGCACCGCCGAGCCGGACACGGACGGACTTAATCTGGGTGTAGTTGGCGAGAGCATACTTGCCGAGTTCACGGCCAATACCGGACTCTTTGAAGCCGCCGAAGGGCACCTGGTAGCTGATCATGTTGTAGTTGTTGACCCAGACGGTACCAGCCTTGAGGGAGTTGGCAACACGGATGGCAGTGTTGAGGTTCTGGGTGTGCACGGCAGCAGCAAGACCGTAGGTGGTCTCGTTACCAGCCTTGATGACCTCCTCCTCGGTCTCGAACTTGCTGATCGAGCAGACAGGTCCGAAGATCTCCTCTTGCATGATCTTCATGTCCTCGCTGACGTTCGAGAAGATGGTCGGCTGGATGAAATAGCCTTCGTTGCCGTGGCGCTCGCCGCCGGTCTCGACCTTGGCGCCAGCCTCCTTGCCGGACTGGATGTAGTTCATGATTCTGTCGAATTGAAGTTTGCTGACTTGAGGACCTTGGAAGGTGTCGGCCTTGAACGGGTCGCCGACGACGTTCTTGGATGTTCGCTCCTTGAACGCCTGGATGAACTTGTCGTAGATGCCAGATTGGACGTAGATGCGCGAGCCGGCGCAGCAGCACTGGCCGTGGTTGAAGAAGATGCCGAAGTTGACCCACGAAATGGCGTCCTCAATGTTTGCGTCGTTGAAGACGATGTTGGGTGACTTGCCGCCGAGCTCGAGGGTGACCTTCTTCAAATTGGACTTGGCAGCGGCTTGGAGAATGGTTCGGCCGACGACGGTCGAGCCAGTGAAGGCGACCTTGTCGATGTCCATGTGCGAGGCAATGGCGGCACCAGCGGTCTTGCCAAAGCCAGAGAGGATGTTGACGACACCAGCTGGGAAACCGGCCTTCTCGACGAGGGTTGCAGCGAACAGACCGGACAGAGGAGTCTGCTCAGCGGTCTTCAAGACGACGGTGTTGCCGGTAGCCAAGGCAGGTCCGATCTTCCATGACCACATAAGAAGAGGGAAGTTCCAGGGGATGATCTGACCGCAGACACCAACGGCTTCGTGTCTCGTGTAGTTGAAGCTCTCTGGGTCTGTGTCGATGGTCTTGCCGTGGATCTTGTCTGCCCATCCACCGTAATATCTGAGGCAGCCGGAGGAGAGCTGAACATCAACCTTGGCCATTGAGAGGGCCTTGCCATTGTCCAGGGACTCGATAGCAGCGAGGGTATCCGAGTATTCGTCGAAGAGGTCGGCGAGCTTCGTCAGCATCTGACCTCGGACTGAAGGGAGGGTCTGAGCCCAGACGCCATTGAAGGCTTTGCGGGCGGCCTTCACGGCAATGTCGACATCTGGGGAGTACAAGATCAGTACGAGCTTACGAACAGGACGCGCGTTCTCGAGGACAACTCACCCTCGGGACCGGCCTCGTGGACAGCGACAATAGGCTTCTCGTTTGTGGGATTGATGGTCTCGAAGGTCTTGCCCTCAACACCCTTCACCCACTTGCCGTCAATGTACAAGCCAAGCGGTTGCTCGTAGGTGATGCTGGGGGTCTCGATCTTCTGTGTCAAAGACATCTTGTCGTGTTTTCTGAGGTAAGTTTTGGAAGGCTAGAATGGGGTATCACAAAAGCAGAGAAGTCACAGACTTTAACAAGAAGGAAAAGAGAGCAGGCGATCAACCGAGGACAGCGAAGACTGTATTTGAAATACTCAGGCGCGGGGAAGGCTCAGCTCTGCGCAGGGAAGTCATATCCACAACAGAGCTTTTTCGCTTTCCTATAGACCGAGTCAGTCGCCGCTAGGATTGGAGTCATGATCCACTGATCCAGAGCTCGTCCGACCGAAGGTGAGAGGAGTGGTTGGAAGGCGCTCGAGTTCCGTCAGGGAGCCTAACTGCGGGGTTTACGATCAGGGTCTGACAACGGGCCGGCGACTCTCACTGGATCAAAGGAGATCCTGACGGTTAGAGATGGAGGTCTGAAGGTCGAAAGCGACTCTGTTGCTTCACGATCGGGCAAAGCGATTGGCTGCACGGCAAGACTAGGCCGGAGAAGCAGCTGTGGCAACACCCCGAAAGAGGGGTTTGGACGTCGAGATTCTGTTTACGTGTAGTATGCCGCATATGTTTCGGCTTGTCGTGGACGGTGCTGGCTGGAAGGATCGCGCTGGAGCAGCGCACGTAATGTATCCTTTCTTGGGCCAGATCTGACCGGACCAGCCTAGCCGAGCACTAATCACTGTGTACATTGCGGAGAATCGCAGATGGGCTGCGACATGAACTTTCCATATGTCGCAAACACAGAACACGCCTCGATAAATACATGCTCTGGGCCCGATGTCGAGGAGAGTCCCAATGCCGGCCCGAGACGATAATTGAAAGGTGTCCGGAATATCAAGAAGGTTTTCTCATCCCTTGTTGATGAGGAACGCGATTTTGGTGATCGTGCGGGAGCGGTTCGGGCTTGAGGACTCGAGGCTAGTGCTGCGGATAAAGGATAGGCACGGATAGGTTTGTGAGGACAATGTAGCGAAATGTAGCTCGACGCGATCTCTCCCGGACCTTCCCTATAGAAGCGGGGAGATATTCCTCCGGATAACCAAGGCACTTGTGATTACATATTCTCTACTTCACACTTGAGGGTCAGCATAAGCGTCAGTATGAGCGGTAACTCGCCTCGACCAGGGTTGAGGTGATTGTCTTCTCAGGAGAAAAGCAAGCCATGGAGGGGCAAAACAACAACAAACGAAAATGAGGGGCAGGCACGCGCAAGAACGCGGGGCTGTCTGCCTGTGGCGTCAAAACGCCGCAGCCCAGAGCCAACTCGGCCAATGAAACTTGTCCATATCTCCTAGACTGATCTGAAAATGGGGGCTTGACGTCCATAATTCCGCTGCAGGGAATCCAAGGCAGCGGATAGGTTTCCGGCAAGAGAAAGAGGGGAGCGAGCTCCTAAGGCTCTGCTCTGATCCTCGTCCTTGGACTGACCTCGACACACCTCTGAGAAATACCCTGGTTCGCTGGTGATACCAGGCCACCCCACTTCGATGATGCTGGCACGGTCGGATGATGAATACAGAAAGTAATACAGTGCGGATGAAGTCGGTCTACCATTAGTGGGAGCCATGATTATCGCGAATGACTAAACAAGGCTGTTGAGCTCGCTGAGTCGTCATGGCCGTTAAGTGTACGAGTAGAAGCACCGAAGCAGCATTCCTGAATGTATGGAGTTCGGTGTATCTCGGTGCACAATTGTCCGAGTAGTGCCGCGGTATAAAAGGTCACGTGCGGAAAAAGCAATTGATATAATTTACAAGAGCCAAAATTTGGCTGACTGTCATGGTCGAAAAGTTAGGAGGTTGCCTTGAGCTTGTGAACGTCGCTTCACACTCCCACTTGTCCAGTTGTGCCTTGCTCGGAATTTCGGGTCGTTCTTCTACTCGTGTGTGTAAACCATGATGCTAGGGAGCGTTAAGCAATGGAAATTACACTTGAGGGAAGCGATTCTGCAGAGACATTTCCACCCGGAGTTGGCGGCGTGAGATTACACACTGGCAAGATATGCGAAGTTTTAGGCTCGATGTGGGTGATCGACTTTTTGTTTTTCGTTCCAGCGGTGTATGTCTATTCTTTGGCTGGTTCGAATTATGTTGGACTTTTTGTGTCTTGTGGCTTGCACTCGTGCGTCAGAGCTGTGTGCCAAGACCATGATCGTCGAGCTCCCGCTGCGAGCCTGCCCAGAACGGTACTTCTCGAGATGGTGACTTCTGGCCACAACGGTTACTGCCTCGCCTACCTCGTGTCCATCGCTTTGCGCCGTCGCCGACAACTGGAGACGCGCGCCTCCATGACCACAACTGCCTGTAATTTCTGGGCACCCTCAAGAACGCCGTTCCACATGTGGCGCTCGATTATGTGGCGCTGTTGTGACAACCCTTTGCGCAGGGCGCTCACACAGTCTCTGTAACCGCAATTTGCACTGGGTGAGCGATTACTCTAATGACATTAGAGAACTCCGAGACCAGACATTCCCCTTCTCGACATGGGTCGGTAACAGAGTCTGCCCACAATTCGATACATCTGAAGTGTTTACCTTTGTCCACCAGGGTTCTGTGACAGCCCTCCTGGTGTCAAGTTTCCACAGATCGCTCTTCTCGATATTTCTACTTGGAGACGCCGACAGCTACTTGTTATCTCATATCTTCATCCTGTGGCTCTGAGCATGGCTGCCAGCCTTCGATAGGCGATGACCACAACTGTGCAACAGAGGGCGGAGATCAACTCCTCACCCTTTTATCTTTCCGAAGGCCTAGGACATAGTGTTTCCGCATTGCGTCACGAGCACAGTCAGAGTCGCGTCTATTCCTTGCCTTGGGTCTCTCGCTAATCGTCTGATCATCGTCTCCGTCCCTGGCACCCGAGCAGAAGCTCACTGTCTAGCTCGGAACAAGGTGAAGGTCAGCTGACGACTTATCGAAGGCTTATCCTTCCTGCCAACTTCAAATGCCAGAAGTCAGGATGAGTTGATCACGTCCGCGATGGTCGCAGTCTTGGTGCCATCAGCACGTCTGTGAGCATTCTGTCGAGGAACCACAAGAACGAAGGCTTGAAGTGGTTGCTAACATTCTGGGCATAGTAGAATTCCGACCGAAGTGACGAGAGAGGCCTTGATATATCCAGCAACATTCCGGGTCTGCTGAGGATGAAAATCCAGACGGACGTCAGAAAGAGGTCCACGGTCCCACGGGGGTCGCCCAGAGACTGAGAATCCGAGCATTTCATACCTCGAACCGGATTTCAGACCTGTTTAACTTCTATATGCTTTGTCCGAGCCCCACAGTTTGTGACAGCGGACTTCCGCAAGAAGCAGCCCTCGATACAGAATAGGAAGTATTCTTTGAGAGTCCACATGACACCTTCAAGCAGCCCAGTATTTCGCGGTACTCTATGGAGCATAGCGTCACTGTCAATCGTGACGCTGGCTCAACGTCTCCGGCATTGTGAGTTAAGTATCCTTGTTCCAGCAAGCCATCCCGTTTCATCCCCGAGTCTTCCTGGCCTGTGCCTTTCCGTCCTTTCCAATCGTGGCCCATAAACTGCAGAGAGAAAGGTATTCGACTGGCGAAATATATCGGTTACCTTGCAAGATCCAAGCTTAGGCGACATGATAGGCCTGAATGAGGCAAGTCCAAGCCGTCCGTTCACGTGACTGTGTCAAATCCAGAGCCGCCGAGTCAGCCGCAGCTGAACGCTTGGAGCATTCTGGACAAGGCCACTCAGCTAGCCATATCGGCGGTGACAAGAGTAGTCATCAGTTGTTAGTCACAGGGTGCGCCGAAGCCTGGTCTCTTCATCTGACTGCGCAACTTCTCTTGGACAGATCTGACCATTATACAGCATACGCTGCGCTCATCTACCATCGTCCACTTCGGAACACCGTCAGCGCATCACTCCCGGCATGGTCATCCTAGGCGGTCTCGAACTCGTCGCAGCAGGTTACCTGCTGAAAGAACTGCACAATGACAGCAAAGAGGAGGAAGAGAGGGAGCGTGAGCGGCGAAGGAGACGGAGACATCATTCTCGCGACGACCATCATCGACCCCATCGCCACGATGACTCGCCTCCAAGCCGCCCGAGCCGGCCGCCGCAGCAACAACTCCTTCCCCCCCAACAGGGTCCCGCGCGACCGTATAGTGCACCCCCACCGCAGAACAGACCGCAAATGTTACCGGTAGCCATGGCAGCTACTGCTGCGTCAATGTGGCCTCGTCCTCAACAAGGTCCGCAGCCGCCCCAACCACGGCCGCCGCAGAGCTATCCAACGTGGCCACAAGGTCCGCCTCACCAGCAACCGATGATGCAGCAGCGACCGCCTCAGCCGCAGCCACAATGGCAAAACAGCCCTCCTCCAAATGGCCAATCTAACTTCGTCCCACCGCCTTTGCAACGACCACAGACGAACTCCTTTTATCCCCCACCAGGCGTTCACATCGATATGAAAACAGGCAAAATCCAACACGACATGCTCCCTCCAGAAATGCCCCGTGATGCAAAGAAAGGCGGTGAAGCGAGAGAATACTACGAAGGCGGCCGACAAGGATCGTACGAGCGGCAACGCGAGAATTCAACGACTTCGCAGCAACAACAGCCGAGGCCGCAGTACCCTCAGCCTTATGGCGGAGAGCAGGGTCCGCACAGGTACTCCCAGCCGCAGATCAACGTCGCGCCTTCGAGTCATCCAACGCCGACGATTCCGCAAGGGTATGCGGAGTTGGATTCTGAGACGCCGGGGCGGTACAGGCCGTACGGGGATGACAAGGCCGGAAGGGGGAAATCTAACTCCTTTTCCAGGCGGTATGGCGACGAGGATATGGATCTGAGGTCGCCGCCGCCAGCGTATCGGGAGTGAATGGGAATCACTTCCCGATGTCGGTTGCCATTGGCTTCGGATTGGAAGCATACGACCACCCTGGCATTGACGCTTTTGATCTCCGAGCTGCTGTCGAGATCTAGAAATATGAGACTGGTAACGAGACACATGGGATGATGAAATTTTAGGGAGAGAATCTGTGAGAATAATGAGATATCGGAGCATCGACCGCGAGCTGGCCTCGTAGGTCAATGTGTCCTTGTTGCAAACTCGTGGCATTGAGTACATTTTTAGAGTATGTTGCAACCCACAAGCATGGGACATTAATCGCGCGAATATGCTGCCGCTCCAGCATTACCTGCCTTCCCCACTCGGCATTGATTTCAGCCCTCCTCTTCTTCACAACGCAAACACGGCAACAGCGCCCGCAATCACCATACCGGCAAGGCTGGATCCCAGCTGAGCGGCGCCGCCAGCGAAGGGGGACGTACTTGCAGCTGGACCCGTGGCAGTCGCAGAGACACCGGTCGTTTCTGCAGCCACCGTGCTGAGGGTGCTCGCCGTCACAGCCGCGGTGGTGGTGGCGCCCGCGGCCCACGAATTGCCGTCATAGGTGTAGACCACGGAACCGGAGGTGGAGACGATGACCGTCGTCCCCGGCAACTCGGCCCAGGTGCTGGCCGTCGGGCTCGCGGTGGTGGTGGTCCAGTTGCCAGACGTGGCCCAGGTGTACGAGCCGGTTTGATATGCCGGGGGTCCGAGCACGATCGAGCCGCCTCCGCTCACGGGGACGGTCGTGGTGGCGGAAAGAGAGGCAGAGGCAGAGCCCGAGATGGGAAGTGAGGTAGGAGGCGACGACGGGGAGTCGGAGCTCGCGCACTCGTCGTTCTCGAGCACCGAGAATTGAGTCGAGTCTGGGTTTTTGGTTGTTAGTATACTATTTTCATCGACCCATTCACTCCATTTTTGCCCCCCCCTCCCCCACCCACAATATGGCGTGGTTGCGCTGGTCGGGGCAGAGTGGCGGGCCGACTTACATTGGAATTCACCCGTGCCGTCGACAATGATCAGCATGCCGTAGCCCGTGCTGGTCGACTGCTTGCCGGGCGCAAGGTCGCAGGGGACTTTCCAGTCAAAGGACTTTTGCGACGCGGGGAGCCCTTCGGCAATGGCACTGTCGGAGAGGACGCAGTTGGAGCCGGGCCCGTGGCAGAGCACGAGACTGACTGTCACGCCGTCGGTTGCATGGCTCGACGGGTCCCAGGTCACGCTGAAGTCTTTGCCCTGGGTGACGGACTGGAGGGTATTGGTCGTCAGTTTTGGGAGACAGAGCGGTTTCCGATAGGGAGTCTACGTACGTTGGACGTGTCTGGAGTCAGCAGCGCGCCCCATGTCTGATCTTTGGGTTGGGTGAAGGCGTGGGCCGCGGTCGCCAACCCGGCGGCGAGAAGGATGAATGACTGCATGTTGGCTGTCGGTTGTTTTGTCGTCGGCCAGTTAATAGGCTCGAGGGTTCGTGTCTTGCAGCGAGGATAATGGCCTGACTCGGAGAGGCCGATTTGCACACAAGTACAGAGTACCTTGCGATGTAATGAGCGTGGGATGGGAGTTCAACGTTGGGGTTCAAATGAGTGACTGAGAAGCAGCAAAAGTGTATAGAACGACAGACCAGCTGAGGATTGCTGAAAGACGAAGAACCGGCAAAGGGAGCGGACGAAGACAGGCACGCAAGCAAGCAAGCAAGCAAGCCCTCAGGGTTGAACTTATGAACGAAACCGTGAAATTCAAGTCAAGACTCTCAATGTGGACCGCTGGACGTCGTTGACTTGCTCAGCCTCCGCTACAACCCCGTGTTTCATCGGATCGGGAAATTGGCTGCTCGCGTGTCGGAACCCCTGGACGAGGAGCCCAGTCAGCAGTGAAATGAGATCGCCGGCAGAAGATTTCATCATACGTAGGTCATCTCTGGCAGAGCAGCCGACTGGCCTAGCACGGATCCTCGTGAACGATGGAAGCAAGAGGAAAGGTGACATTCCTCGCGTGGTGTGGTCCTCGTAAGTAATTACTCGTACTGCAAGAGCTGAACCTTTCCGCGCGATGGGCTCATTAGGCGGTGATGGAACAGGAGGTGAAACCAGGAGAAAGCGATCCGAGCGAAAGACGCCCTCCAGTCTTGGTCTAGCATTAATCGCCCGGGGAGTGATAGGCATTACTACGAACGTGGATAGAGTCGGTAGCCAGAAAACCTGGTGTAGGTCGAAATTGATGTCGATGCTGACGTTGGAGCTGGCAGTGAAGGTGTGGTGTGGTGCCTTGCATGCTTGACCTCCCGAGTTCCGCAAGATTGACGATCTCGCTCGGGCCATTGCTGTACGAGTACGGAGTACGAGTACCGGTTACCAGTAAGCAGTGGATGTGGGGGTGGAGCAAGAGAGCTGCCGAAGCCAGAGGACGAAGCACCCACGAGGGACCTCGTACCTAGGGTTAAGTAAGGGGCATGTCTGTCGGGGCGCGTCATCTCAGGCACCGTGGCGTCAGGGCACAGGTAAAGGAATTGGGGGCGATTTCGTATATTGGTGCTCGTATTGCTTGGCTGAAAGATGCTTTCGCCATTGAAGAGTCTCGACGTGTTCGGCCATTAGTGACTGACTGCACAATGAGTAACGGATATCAGCCTCTAGCTTTGGCGCGGTCATGTACCAGTTCGTGTGAACCAGCCGTGCTTTGGGTGGTGGACGTTGCTGGGCACAGTCTACACAGTATAACGTGGCCCGGATTCTCGACAGGGAGCCAATACTGCCTGAACAACGATGGTACCGTTGAGAGTGCAGACAACATTCTTGACTTGCTTGTGTTCTTGACTCTAGCCAGAACTATTCCAGTGAGCTGGCACCCCAATCTCGACCCTGTAAGCCCAAGCTGTCCTTGAGCCTGGGTATGGATGAACTCGAATCATTGAGTGGTAAGATAAGTAGGGACGCTGGAATCGTCCAAAATACCCACAGGCCTCTTCAGTGCCATGCAATGCACTGACCTTCGTCGAAAGCCACCTTCTTTACTCCGTAGAGGCCTTCACTTTACCTCATCCATCACAACACAGGAGCTGGAGACCAACTTGCTTGAAGTCCGAGTGTTGCAGAAGCTCGTCAAACCTTCCTCCCCGCACAATCCCCGTTCACTGCCACGACGTCGCCAGATCGATGGAACTCGTCTGCGTCCCGCTCACCAACACCGGAGCTTTTATCGATGAGTACACCACGTTGACAAGTCTTCGAATACTGGCCTGACGGTCAGCATGATTCGGTTTCATCACATCTCTGTTCAAATGGGCTGATTCAGGTCGCTTCGGTCACCCTGCCAACTTTTATGGAAGTGCCGATCCGGCAACGGCTTCCATCCAGCTAGAACGCCACCATGTCGTCTTCACCTCCCGTTGCAAAAGCCAATGAAGCACCTTCAACTTCGCGTCGTGTCGTACCCAGCAGGGCGAGCCAAGACCTGGACGGCAACGACCCTCCTGTCGCACGGATGCGAACATCTCGCGAAGTCGACGGCGATACGGTCGAGTTGCGGAAGCTGTACCCCCACTCCCCCCATGGCGGGCTTCTACCATCAGAAGACGAATTTTCAGACACTGGCAGCGAAGGCGAAGAGGACGAGTTGTATAAGAGACGTCGGCTAAAGCGCACCGCCACACAATCCAAAGACTACACGGACGAGGAAGAAGCGGCTGTTGTACGCAAGCTGGACCGCAAACTCGTGATATTTCTAGGCTTCTTGTACATGCTGAGTTTCCTTGACCGCTCAAATATAGGGAACGCACGAATCGCAGGACTCGAAAAGGACTTGTCGTTGTCGTCTTCACAGTACGACTGGCTTTTGACCGCGTTCTACATCACGTATATTGGCTTTGAATGGATGATTTTGCTATACCGCATACTGCCGGCACATATCTACATCTCTCTCTGTGTGCTATCCTGGGGTCTTGTAGCCAGTCTACAGAGCTTGACAACCTCATTCGGCCAACTCCTCATCCTACGAGGCTTTCTTGGAATCACCGAGGCAGCATTCGGCCCTGGCGTGCCGTTCTATATGACATTCTTTTATAAGCGCTCGGAACTGGCCTATCGCGTCGGACTGCAGATCTCCGCTGCACCACTGGCGACCAGTTTCGCAAGTTCGCTGGCTTGGGTGATCGTCAAACTGAGCCAGAATGGGCCCGTCGCGCCGTGGAGGGCATTATTTCTGGTGGAAGGGTTCCCAAGTATCTTCACCGCCGTGGCAGCGTGGTACTGGATCCCAGATGCCCCTGCCAAAGCCAGATACCTGAGCGCCAGGGAAAGAAAGGTCGCGGTCATGAGGCTGCAGGCTGAACAGTCGACAACACTCTCCCACGACAGCTCGTCCTCGAGCGCGGTTGCCACATTGGCTCAACGGCTCCAGGTTAAAGAGATTCTGGCCACAGTCCTCGACCCCAAATCCTACCTCACGGCTCTGATGTTTCTGAGTGTGAACGTCTCGTTCAGCTCGTTGCCGGTCTTCCTGCCCACCATCATCAACAGCATGTCCTTCTCTCCGCTGGCATCACAAGCCCTTGCCGCTCCACCCTACCTATTCGCCTTCGTTTTCGTGCTGCTCATCGGTCGATACAGCGACAAGATGGCCGACTCAAGGTCTTTGTTCCTTATCGGCGTGGCACTTCTCAGCGCCTTCTCGTACGCCGGGATTGCCCTCGCCGGCTACCTACATGAAGAGTTAGGCGAGACAGGAAGTATAACGGTCCGCTATGTCGCTGTATTCGGCGCTGCTATGGGGTTATTTTCCTCGGTCACCCTTATCATTACGTGGACTCTGAACAACCAATCCACAACCACAGGCAAAGGGACAGGACTGACCATCTTGAATATCGTTGGACAGTGCGGTCCGCTGATTGGTGTTCACTTGTTCCCGGAGAGACACGGGCCCTTTTACGTCCCTGGCATGGCTGTTTGTGCAGGCTTCATGGCGGTTGGTGTGGCAGGCTTGGCTTGGGTGCTGAGGTTATTGCTCTGGAAGGAGAATAACAAGAATGGCAAGAATGGTTTTGTAAGTGGGCGGGAGCATGGGTTGGATGGGGAGTATGAGTTGATGAGTAAAGAGGAGGAGGGAGGTGAAAGAGGAGATGAGGACGCTGAACAGAGTTTGATAGGGGGTTCGAGGAAGGTCCCTGGGAAGGCATTTCGGTATATGCTATGATCAATGGTACGCACAGGCCGAGCAGCTCTATACAGATGATGTTGAGCAAATGAGACCATGTCACTTCCTCTTGGCTGTGTCGGCAACTGCTCCTTGGATGAGTGGCTGCTCACAGCAATAAAACTAGTCTCGTGGTCCCTCTCCACGGTTTGTCACTCTACGACCATGAAAGAATGTGCCCTCGATCATGAATGACGTGCTTGCCGCAACTCTAGGGATTATGAGCTTGCACTGACACCAGCCGTGGCGAGTTCCTTTGTTGGTTGCGATAGAAAATTCTAACGGCAGAAAATGTCCGTACGAGACGTTGGAGCAGGACCAAACGCTCAAAGTACATACTATTCAATTCGCTTGACAGCACGCACCTGGACTGTTCCCGCCGATGTAGAACCAGATACACGCCCGAATCGACGTGTTCCGGATGGAGTATGAGACAGAGCGGTCGCAATAACGACATACAAAGTCGCCTTGAGAGGCAAAGATTCCGCGCCACCAGCACTGGCTTGAATTTCCTACGTGTGGAATCCTCGTTGAACAACTCATGGAGCAAGGGCCCGCAGTCCCAGCCTACATTTTGCGAGGCCACGAGGCCCCCGTCCACGCTCTCCATTTCTATGCCGACAATTCATTCCTGGCGTCGGGTGACAGCGACGGATGGATGGTTCTATGGAGTCTCTCGTCCAAGCGACCGGTTGCAGTGTGGAAAGCGCACGAGGCAGGTATCCTACAGATCCAACACTGGACAAAGGACAGACTGATCAGGTAAGCAACATCTCTCTCTCTCGCTCTCACTCTCGCTCTCATCCCGCAGCATGGCAACTAAGAGAAATCACGACGGCTGGCACAGTCATGGCAGGGATCATAAGCTCCGCGTATGGCAAGTCCGTCCTGAAACCCTCGCCAGCTTGAGCAGAAAACTGCCTGCTGAAGCAGCCATCTCAGCGTCAGATCTACCTCAGCCATGGCTCCTCCATTCATTTTCCGTCAGCGCGCTCAACTTCTGCGCCTTCTCCACGTGCAATGAAGACACGGCGGGAGAAGCAGCAGGAGAGGTGCCTTCGCAATTGATCGCTTCACCCAATGGGCTCGACTCAGGCGGCATTGACATCTTCCAGCTTCCATCCGAAAAGAGGGTGTCGCAGATCGGGTCCGACAAGAATGACCCGACAGGGATGGTTATGGCGGTCTCACTCTGGCACCAGCGAGACGAGCCTTCATCGAGACTCGTCCTCGCTGCGGGCTATGAAGACGGCCGAGTCACGGTGCATGTGCATCAGGGCGATCTGGACGGTTCCGCGCGGGCAGCAGGTCAAACGTGGAAAAGAGTCTTGATCGCCAAACCACATATACAACCTGTGCTCTCCGTCAAGATTCTCCCTACTCAATCACAGTTTCTGACCTCGAGCGCCGATGCCAGCATTGCCAAGTTCTCTGTGCCCACGCTCTCGGAGACAGCGGTCCACGAGACGCGGCCCGACAAGGCCGTCAACACGAAACATGCCGGCCAACAAGGCCTCAGCATTCGCTCTGATGGCAGGATCTTTGCGACGGCCGGCTGGGACGGACGTGTCCGGGTCTACTCGTACAGGACGATGAAAGAACTGGCAGTGCTGAAGTGGCATAAAGTGGGAGTCTACTCGACAGCGTTTGCCGACGTCAGCTCGGAGGACGATGTCGACGTGAGCAATGGATCCGAGGAGCTCACGTCTTCTCCCAAGTCTACACCACCAACCCCTGCTCCTGGCATCTCAAGACCCATGAGCGCCCTCGACCTTATCAAACAAAAACGAGAAGACAAAGCCCGACGGATTCACTGGCTGGCTGCGGGTGGCAAAGATGGCAAAATATCATTGTGGGATATCTATTGAACAACGCGTGTTCATGCTTTCGAGTCTTCGGGCTTGACTGTCGTCTCCTCCTCGACCTTGGGTGATCCCTCCTGGAGAACAGGCACCGACTTTTGTTTTAGTCTCTTTTTGTTCAACATATGAGTGGGATATGCTTTGATCCTTAATGATTTGACCTTTCGAAACGTCTGTGGACTCGCCGTCCGGGGTTGGGTGGCCTGCTGGTCCGCGTCCTGCGGTTCCGTGGCTTCATCCGCCACCCCTTCACTTGCCGCATGGCGTGCCGCTGCCTGCTGTCTTCGTTCCCTCCTCAATTTCACATCAACTTTCGGCTCCAAGATGACGTTGTCGATCAATCTGACGCTTCTCTGATTCAGCTCCTGCTGCGTTTTGGGACTGTCCACAGGAGATACGATCATGGCCGCGCTCAAGATCCCGCCAATGTTGGGGTTCAGTTCTTCGTCGTCCTGGATGGAGCCCATGGTATCCGGATGGGACATGGCGATGTAGTCGACATCAATCTGACCACTGGGTCCTACTCGGCCGTCACTTCGAGACCGAGTCGCGTCCTCTTTGAAGACGTCAAAGGCCGCCGCACGGAGGCGTTTCACTTGCAAAACGCCGGATTTGTACAGGTCCTGCGCGGCGAACAACGCTCGTGACAAAACGGTGGCATCCTCCCTGCGCTTGTCACCCAGGTATACATTTCGGCTACTCATGGCCAGCCCGTCCGGTTCTCTTACCGTAGCCACAACGCGGACCTCCGTGGGTATGTGAAAGTCCCTGACCAGGCGTTTGATCAGGACGGACTGCTGGATATCCTTCTGCCCAAAATAGACTCGGTCGGGCTGTACGATGTTGAACAGCTTCATGCAGACAGTCGCGACGCCGCGGAAGAAGATGGGCCTCGATGCTCCTTCGAGCTCGGATCCTAGAGGAGTAATTGTGACGAACGAACCATGGCCCGCAATGTCCGAGGTGGGAGGTAGAGTAGGGTACATGGTCTTCACCGTCGGGGCGAAGATCCCACGTATCGAAGAGGGCCTCCGGGGACTCATAGCCTCGGCGCCCTCGAGGTATTCTTCTTCCAACTTCTTCAACTTGGCCAGGTCTTCTTCCCACGTGACAGGATAAGAGTCCAAATCTTCGTGTGCGGCGAATTGGGTCGGGTTGACGAAAATGGATACAAACACGTGGCTATTTTCCTTCAGGGCGCGTCGAACGAGAGAAAGGTGTCCTTCGTGTAGGGCTCCCATGGTGGGGACAAAGCCCACCGTACTCCCATTGCAGAGAAGCCGCCTGCGCACGGCACGTAACTCGTTGGTGTTTCGGAAGACAGGGAATGGGCTCGCATCACTAGACGGAGACGCAGAGCCATGCGTTCTCGCAAGCACCGAAGAGCTTTCGTACCGTCGACAAGGGCGTCCTCGGTGCCATGTTAACCGTTGGATCGGTCGAAGTGCGGACCCTCTCAATGCTGCTCTCTGCATGGTTTCTGGTTCGCAGGATGTGGCTGAATGCTAGGAAAGGGGGCTGTATGTGTCGTGGTCTCAAACAGCAGCTTCATCTTGACGCCTGGAAACTCGCCGCGCACCAGAGGTGAGTCGAAGAACGCATGATACAAAGTGCAGCGTAGATTATGTGGGCGGCGTAGCAGCGTGTTTGAGGTGACTTTGATAGCAGCTCCGTCACCGACGCCCCGCAGCCACGTCCGGCCAATCGGAGCAGAGCTTACTCCGCAATTTCTCCACCGGCATCAAAAAGTTCGAGATCTGCGTCTTTCGGCCTTCAGAGTGACTGCAGGGAGACTGCCACTGTTGAGTCTCACATTCGCGTGGGCCAAGGCACTGATGTGCTGATCGGTCGTATATGCAATGGCCGACGATGGCATGTTCCTCAACTTCTCCGTCGACGAGACCAGCGCACCATCAGTCCATGCCGGCCCGAAGTTCAAAGGTGGGTCATGGCGAGACCGCCTGAAGGCGAAGAGGTCGGCGCAAAGAGCTGGACGGGGTGAGGGCGGAGAAGGGCAGAGAAGAACAAACGATCCGAATAGCCTGCCTGTGTCACAGCGACGTGTTCAGTCTGAGGACTTTCCGGACCCTCGACCGACAAAGAGACGGCGCGAGAATGGACAAGCGATAGACTCAAGACGAAATGAGCACAGACAGGGCACATCAGGGCCCCGCGAGGTCATATCCTCACTATTCACATACAACCCGAAACCATCGACCACGACCGAGGAGCTCCAGCCAACGAGTGGAGAAGAGAAGCCCACCGCTCCGTCTAACGCGCCTCTCATTGACGGCATGGACACATTCACCTCCCTCGGTCTCACTCCAACAATAGCAGCCCACCTGCTCACGAAGATGAACCTGAAGACACCCACCGCCATCCAAAAGGCCGCCATATCACAAATGCTCAAAGACCCGAGTGACGCTTTCATACAGTCCGAGACAGGCTCGGGAAAGACCCTCGCATACCTCCTCCCACTTGTCCAACGCATAATGACAGTAAGCGCAGAGCAGAAAGAACACGCCGAAGACTCACTGCTGCTACACCGCGACTCGGGACTCTTTGCCATCATCCTCGCCCCTACGCGCGAGCTGTGCAAACAGATCTCGGTCGTGTTGGAACGCCTGCTCGGCTGTGCGAGGTATATCGTCGCTGGTCACGTCCTGGGCGGGGAGAAGAAGAAGTCGGAAAAGGCTCGCCTGCGAAAAGGGCTCAACATCCTGGTCGCCACACCCGGCCGGCTGGTCGACCATCTGGAAAACACAAAGGCCCTGGACGTGAGTAATGTCCGCTGGCTTGTCTTGGATGAAGGAGACAGACTCATGGACTTGGGGTTTGAAGAGGATATCACGAAGATTGTGAAGATGCTAGACCAAAGGAAGCAGGCACGAGAGACCAGGGGGACCCTCCACTGGCCGGGCTTGCCTCCCAAGAGGACTACGGTGCTGTGTTCGGCGACGTTGAAGATGAATGTGCAGAAGTTGGGAGAGATCAGTTTGAAGGACGCGATACTGATCAAAGGGGACGGCGGTGATAGTGGGACAGCAGACAATACCGAGACGAAGGAGGCAAAAGTCAACGGCAACGGGACCGTGGACGTGAATTCGGCCTTCCTGGCGCCAGCACAGCTCAAGCAGTCCTACATTGTTGTTGCCGCCAAACTACGCTTCGTCACTCTCACAGCATTGCTCAAACGCACCTTCGCGCGGAAAGGCTCAGTGATGAAAGCGATTGTGTTCCTGTCGTGCGCAGACTCGGTCGAGTTCCACTTCAAAGCCTTCACCACGGCACTCGAAGGTGGCGACGATGCAGGACCGAAAGCGACTCCAGACGACTCCGACTCCGACGCCAACTCCACTATCAAAGTCCCGCAAGCCACCAAAGCCGTCAAAGCCGCCCATCCAGCGAAACCTTCTACTCAAGAACCACCTCCTCCATCAGACCCTTCCGCCCCGTCGCCGACCTTGTCGTCGAAATCAAACCCCCTGACACTCTACAAGCTGCACGGCTCACTCCCGCAACAGACCCGCACCGCGACAATCAACGCCTTCACCCACGCTTCCACGCCCTCCCTCCTCCTCGCCACGGACGTCGCCTCCCGCGGCCTCGACCTGCCCAACCTGGATCTCGTGATCGAGTACGACCCGGCCTTCAGCGCCGAAGACCATCTCCACCGAATCGGCCGCACCGCGAGACTCGGCCGCGACGGCCGCGCCGTGAGTTTCCTCCTCCCCGGCAAGGAGGAGGGCTACGCCTCGGGGGTGCTCAAGGCATCGTACAAACCCAGCGACGAGAGCGTGACCAACGTGTCGAGCATGGACGCAGACGACGTGTTGAAAAAAGGTTTCACCCCCTCGTCCGGGGTGATTTCGACCAAGAAGACCCGGCGGGACGCGAAAAAGCAGCCCCGGGGGCGGGATCCCGAGAAGGCAGCTGGCGATGGCGGTGTCGACCTTGACGGCGCGGACTGGCGCACCCGCGCCACGAACCTGCAACTCGCGCTCGAGCGCTTCGTCCTCGCCACGCCGGCGACCAGGGACCTCGCGCGCAGGGCGTTCCAGAGCCACGTTCGCGCCTACGCCACCCACACGGCGAGCGAGCGGAAATACTTTGACATCAAGGACTTGCACCTGGGCCATCTGTGCAAGGCGTTCGGGCTGAGGGACACGCCGTCCGGCATGGGCGTGGGACGCGGAAAAGGCGCGGGAAAGGGCGGAAGAAGGGCGGTGACGATGACGACGGCGACGACCGGCGAAGGGACGCGTGCGGGTGGAGGTGAGAAGCGGAAGCGAAAAAGAGACGACGGAGGAGGGGTCGATGAGACGGGCGATGTCGACGAGGCGGCCCGGAAGATGAGAGAGAAGATCAAGATGAATAGGAAGATGATGATGGGTGGGGGTGGTGCCGGCGAGTTCAACATTGCTTGATGGTAGCTGAAGATGTTGAAAGAGGCATTGTCGCCCTTGGTTGGGCAGTCTGATCGATACCTTCTTCTTTTGTTACTTTCCTCCTGGCTTCTATCCCGGAATGCGTCGTCGTGCTACTGTATTTGCGGGATACGGCACATTCTCATGTCTCATTTCTCATGACTCGTTTATAAACTCATGGGACCTGAATGGGGGTTGCCATCCCTAGCAGCTCCGCCTTGAGCGTCCAAGTCAGACATACATACTCACACGCATGCGCATGCCTTCCCTACCACGTCTCATAATACTTCCACGCGGCCGCTCCAACGGCAACCACAGCCACCAGCACCGCCAGACAGACAATGTAAATCTCCACCCCGCCAATCAACACCCGTCCCTGCCTGAGCGCGTACTGCTGTCGGAGATACCGGCACATCCCCACGGCCGTCACGAGGATGGACAAGGCGTAAAGACACAGCGTAAGGACCAGCCACACCCGTTTCTCCTCCTCCGTGTACGGGATGGAAGCATGCGCCGGGATGCATGCGATGGCCAACATGAACATGGCCCAGGCTGCGCTGTACCATGCCCAAAATGTGCTTTCGTTCTCCAGGTGCTGCAGGGAGTCGGAGGCTGGAACGGTCGCGGAGATATAAGTGGTCCACCAGCCTTTGGTCTTGGCCTTTAATGATATCTTGGAGTGGACGGTGGAGGCCGTGCTGCCACTTTTGCTCTCTTTGTAGAGATACTCTTGCTCGTCTTCCGTGTTTTGCTCGTCATGCTCGTCTTCCTAAAACTTGAAGACCATCGATTTGCTTTTTACACCGTCAAAGACACATGTCCCGTCCACCGGGACGTATTGTCTTGTAAGCAGCTTGATTGCCTCCTGTGCCATCATACCTCCCAAGACGCTTGAGATGTTATGCAGTTCGCCGCCCTGAACCCGCTCCACCTCCTTGATGGCTTTTGTGATATTCTCCTGGACCTCGGGATCCGAAGAGAGTCCGGTTACGTCGAGGGGGTTGTTTGAGGGAAAGATGCTGGCGTTCAAAGCAATGAAAACGGGAGAGAGGCCTTCCCAATCGTTTTCAATGACGGATGAGAGGCGGGAGAGGGTCTTGGAATCCGAAGTCATCAGGCGCAATGAGGCCAGTGGTTCGTTATTCGGATTCGTCAAAACACGGAGGTGGGAGGCATTCTTGCAGAACGCTTCGATCTCGGAATCAGGTATAAGAGAGTGTTCTCTTGACAAAGCAGCCTCGGTTTCTCGAACTGTCTTGGTGACCTCGGCCACATCGGCTCGTGCTTTGGACTTGTAAATGGTCTGAAGTTTGATGTAGTCCGCGCTCTGGGCTTTCATGTCCGGCAGCGAGCCAGGCAGAGGCAGTAGGCCGTGACTGTCATAGAACTTCTTGACCGCGCTTGCGATGATCCAGAAATTTGCTGAGTCCTTGTTGAGGTTGCTACACGAAGCCATGCTCATCATCTCTCTGCATCCGCTGCCGATCACCGGAGGAGCAATGCTCTTGAGCACGGCGGCACAGGCTTCATCGTAGTTCTCTTCACCCCCTTCTGGGTTGTTCCTCCTGGCTCCAGAGCCGACTAATTCACGGAACTCGGTCTTTTCTTTGAAGGTAGAGGGATATCTGTTGTCGTGTGTCTTCTTCCATTCTCTTAGGTAGTGTAGCAGCAGCAAGAGGTAAGGGATGTGGCCATGATCATGATCCGACAGTGATTTGATGTCCCCGAGTTCATCCACAGCTACTTCTAGTTCGGGCCAAGGTGCAAGCAGGCGGAGATCTTGGGTGGATTCAGGGTCCGGGTGCGTGTCCATTATGGGAAATTCAGATGGCAGCTGAATGGAGAGGGAAGCGAAAAAGCCTGCTGATTGGATGTAGGCGACTGGGATCGAACTGGCCGACGCATAGGCACATATCCTCTGGAGGAATTCTCGAGTGATAGGGGCGCAGAGCAAGATGAGATTGTAAGGCGTGAGAGAGCCTTCGACCGGTAGCCATTGTGCAAGGGGAGCTGTGATGGCATGACCTGTGACGTCCGGGTTAAGCTCTTGTAGAAGCCTTCTCATCTCATCTGCTCTTGGCTTTCCCAGACTATCAGAGTCGAGGAAGAAGTTGACTCCCAAGTCTTGATGCGTGACTTTGCCCGAGTCGGCAATTGTAAAGCTCCCAATCGAAGGCAGAATGAGGTTCTTGAGGGTCTCAGCTCCGGCAACGCTGCTGTTGGAGCCATAGCCTTCATCTCCAACGATCAAGAGAACGTGTGACTCCTCTAAGGCGCGTTGACCGGAGGCAGCCCACAGTCTGAGTTGTCGGTCATACTTCTTTTCTTTGGCGCTTGGGGTCTGGAGGGGAGGCGGCGTGACCTCTCGAGGAGCAACTTCGGTCATTGTTGCGGTAGACTGAAGGATGTAAGGGAGCGCGACATAGGTGATAGGCCAAGGCAGTTGAGAGGGCCTTGGAAAGTGTTTACAGAGTGTCTACTGAGTGTCTACTGAGCATGCAGTGAGGGAATCTCCGGATGGATCTCAATGGTCCAGGTAGATCTTCGGGTAAGCCAGCCTAAAGCACTCTTCCGATCTATGGTACAGTACTCAGTTACGTCACCGAGCTTCCGGTCTCTGGTCACCGACAGCAGTCAATATTGGCACCCATGCACCCTGAGGGGCGCCCTGACAAGCCCATCAGGGGATCTTTACCACCCCGCCATTTACTTGACGATTTCCTTTTGTTCCTGCCCCGCGCACCAGAGAAGCAGTTTCGGTCAACATTTTCAAGACGCTGCTTTTCTGCGACCTCCATCCAATTGCGGCACAGGCGGCAGCATCCATGTTGAGATAAGTCAGCCAACGTGGTGTACGTAATCAGAATAGATCGCTTTCCGATACATGGTCTGGAGAAGCAGTGTCACCTTTCTGTGTCGTGCATGTAAGTGGAAACTGGCTTAAGACCAGTCTCGCTCAGCATTGCAAGATATGCTGTTTTCGGGACGGGACTGATGTTTTCCAGACTACCAATCTAGACCTCTACACTCTTCATTTCAATATAGACCTTCTGTGACCCTTCAGCTTCACAGACCAGTCCCTACCTTCCGCCGCCGCAAATTCTTCCACACCACTTCTGCTCGGCGTAGTGACAAGATGGCCGCCGAAATCGAAGCAGCTAAACAGGCAGCTGCTATTGAAGCCGTCAAGAATCACTTTCCCCTAAATCCTCGTTTTGTCGGCATCGGGTCGGGTACAACCATTGTCTACGTGGTGGAAGCGATCAAGACTTGCGGCGTCGACGTCTCGAGAGTTGGGTTTGTGCCTACAGGGTACCAGTCGAAGCAGCTCATCATAAACGCCGGATTGGTACCTATCGAGTTCGATGCCCTTCCGGATGATGTTCTGATTGACATCGCATTTGACGGCGCCGATGAGGTGGATGAGGAATTGAACTGCATCAAGGGGGGAGGTGCATGTTTATATCAAGAGAAACTTGTCGCAATGAGGGCAAAACAATTTGTTTGTGTTGCGGGTAGGTTGTTTCGGCTGTCTTTGCCAGTTTCCTGCTAATCCATGGGCAGACTACCGAAAGCTCCAGAAACGACTGGTCACCAAGTGGCCCACGATCCCCATAGAGGTCGAGCCGAAGGCAGCGCGACAAGTCATGAAGAGATTGCGCATGCTTGGCAGCATCAGCACAACAGGTGCAGGACCCATGATTCGCGAGGGACATATGGCCAAAGCTGGTCCCGTGAAGACGGATCAGGACTTCTTCATAGTTGACGCGCCTTTCCCGCATCCTTTGTTAATCGCCGAAGACCTGACTCCTGATAGGAGGGGGGACGGCGAGGATGGCTATTGGGAGGTCGAGCAGCTCGCCAGAGCCATCAAAGACATCAACGGCGTATTGGCCGTGGGTCTTTTCTGTGGTCCAACCGGTCCTGAAGCCATGGCAGCAGGCGTGATCGGCGGACAAAGACCCATCGCCTGTTATTTTGGAATGGCCGACGGCACGGTATCGGTACAGAAGGCTCGGCACAAGCGGAATTCTGTCATCGCAAAATACCCGCCTCTGATCCCCGTGCACAGTTCGGAGCTTCAGGATGCTGTAGCATCCCCATGATAGACTTGCCGGTACTGGCCATGGGATAGCAATGGATCGGCTTACGGGTGCCTCTGGAGATTCTCATTTGGCCTTCCTCTTCACCTCATTTTCACCCAGTTCGCGAATGAAGATTCCGATTGTCCCTTCGGGAACATCGTCTTTGCCGTCTTCGAATCCGGGAGAAATGGCCGTGGCCAAGTATTTGCCGTTCGAGCTGAAAGAAAGCGCAGCAACGCTCGAGGCCAGCTTGGGATAGATCCGGATTCTTCGTTTGGCAACAGCATCCCAGATAGCAACCACTCCATCGCCACCGCCCGTTGCGAATGTGCCATGGATTGGGTGAAATGTGATTGCGTTGACAGGGTAGACGACATCTACATCGTCGACAGGCTGACGATGGCATTTGAAGGCATATTTGCGGGATTGCGACTCGGTCGAAGGATCGAACCATTCGACAGCAACGCGTCCTTCAATGCTGGACGAAGCGTAGCCCTCATCATTCGGCATGCAGTCCACTGCCCTCGTCATGTACTTGAGACTGCTCTCTCTTCTCTGCCATGGCTCGATGTCAAGTCTGTTCTGTAACGAGTTCGCCGAACTTTTACACTCGCTGGCCAACGCTTTCAATTCGTAGATGTGCAACGCACGATTCGCCATTGCCACGACCAACTTTGATGCGGAAACAGCGAGTGAGAATGGCTTCGAGGGTAGATTTATGGTGGCGGTCGACCATTCGGCATCTCCACTAGGGTGGATATGCACGGTCGAGTCCCAGGCAGCTGAGACAACAAGAGAGTGCTCGTGGCTGTAGACAACCGAGCGGACTCCATTGTCATGAGTGCTGAGAATGCTTTGCGAGCCAGACGTGGCGTCGATCCTGTCCCACATATCAGTAAAGATGCTCTCTCCGAATATTCATCAGCAGTTGTACCTCCTCACATCCTGGTCCAAGCACGCCGTGTACACCTCATTGTCATCCTTCCCAAAACAAACGTCCAGGACAGGTGCAGGATGCTCGAACTTGGCCACCTGATTGCAGGTCTTCCCATCCAAGACCTCGTAGATGTACGCGTGCTTGTCCCACGAAGCGACCGCGAAGCGTCCCGAGTTCGGGTGTGGTGAGAACCGGAGAGCGGAAATCGCGTCTGTTGGCAAGTCGGACACGGGGAATTGACCTGCCATCACCTGTGAGTACACCAGCCAGCCGCAGGACGGCCAGGCACATACCTGCCATTGTCGCGATGTTTGGGCGGCGGCACCACAGAACTATGAATGTGGGACGAAGAAACCTTTGTTGGAGGGAATTCAAGGCCGTACGAGTACTCAGTATGTCACTAATAGTGGGCGAGAACAAAACATCGAGTCAACGAATCGTACACGAGTAACAGAGTTCTGCCACTCTTCACCGCCTGCAGCCTTGTCTTCTCAGCCTCGCCCCGCATTTCCCTACCAGGCTCGACTTACTCACTACCTGCCGAGGCTGCCTGATAGAACGTTTTCCAATAGAGCAGCAACTTTCGGATCGCATCTGATATTGTCAATGATCAGGTTTTCGTAAACGCATCTGGGACCCAGCCAATCTTGCTTTGAGGCACCCCAGAACCCCTTTCCTCGATAATGATAGGATTCCTGAAGTTTCATTTCGCAACGACCCAACTCCAATAAATAGAATGACTAGCACGTCGTTCCAGAATGGCGACTACTCGTCCAAGTTCAGAGCATTTGGCGTGGAAAGCGATGTGCTATACTAGAGGATCGCGTGTATTGTCTGTTATGCGTTCATCTGGAGTTTGTCTGCAAAACGGCATCTCACTAGCTACATGTCCCGTCTTCGTTGCGAACCAGCCATCTAAGCACAACGAGAATGGGAAACTGGTTGTTGACATCAATCAATTAGGTGAATGGTAGAAAAGTTATTTACATGCAAGAAACCCTAGGCTACATCTACAGTATTAACCCCACGCAATCCTCTTGGCGGCCCTTTCAGTGATCAATGCATCTCTCCCAATAGCTGGAGCACTGAAGTGTAGGAATAACAACACCTCCAATCGCATCGAGGAGGATACTGTCCCCCGAAGAAAGAAGGCACTCTCCGAAGGGCAGAGGATAAAGTCAACGGCCAACTACGCTTGCTAGCCGGACTGGAAGAGGTCAACGTGCCATCACAACACTTCCCTCCACTCATCCGTCACTTCCTCGGCCTTGACCATCCTCCTTAGATCCTTCAAGACAGCCTCGGTGCCCTTTTCCACAACCACTAGTCTCGGGACACGGAATCTATTGCCGCTGACCTCCAGGACGCGCAGTCTCCCAGGGATCTTGTCCTTGCTGCCGGGGAGATTACCCAGGAGGCCGATCTTGGGAGGCAGGGCTTCGATCTCATTGTTCCGGACGTCTAGGACCTCGAGGCCACGGACGCCTTCGACATCGACCGAGTTGAACCAGTTGTCTGTCGCCAGCAGGGTCGTGACCTTTGGCCACCACGCCCTTACCCACGGCACGTGGCCCGCTAGTTTGTGGCATGAGATGTTGATCTCCTTGAGCTCTGGGGCTCGGAGGTATGTTGTCAAAGCGTCTAGGCTCGTCAGCCCGGTAGAGACGATATACAGAGACTTGAGGTACGGCATGAAAAGCTCGCAGGTGAGGTAGTCTGTTGGGTGGAGTTGGGGGTTGTGTGACAGGTCGAGAGATTGGAGGGAGTATTTCAATGAAGGATGTGAGAGGAGCTTTATTGGAAAGGAGGCGAGCTCATTGTTTGAGAGTTTGAGAGTGTGAACTTCGGAGGTGAGGTCGATCAATTCCATGGGGATCGTGGATAGCGTTTGGGATGAAAGGTCGAGGATGCCGTTCGAGGGAGTGTAGCGGTATTGGCTGTTAGAGATGGCATCTGCAGGACTGGTCTTTGTTGGGTTGTTGCCGGCCTCGGTTGGGTCCAGTTTCTTCTCGAGATCCAGTTTGAGGTCTGCTGTGCCCATTGTGAGATACTTCTTCTCCCTGAGCGGATTTCCCACGAGGTTGATGCTCGTCAGATTGGCCATTGTGGCAAGTTCCGCAGGGATCAGTCGGATATCATTATTCGCAAAGTCTGCGCTCTTCAAACCCTCTAGCTGAGTAAAGTCCGCAGGTATTTCTGATAGCTTGTTGTCTGCAAGCTGGAGGGTGAGTAAGTCTTCAAGACTTCTTAGGGAAGGTAAGCTGGTCATTTTATTGCCAGTCAAGTTGAGAGTCCGAATACTCGAGAACACCGTTTTAGCCTCGTCGTCACCAGCAGTTAAACTCTCAAGTTCGTTGTATGATGCATCCAAGCTCCGGAGCTGCTTAAAACTTAGACCACCTGCGGAGAAGAGGACGCCAGAGAAACGATTCTTGGAGATGTTCAATTCCGTCAGTGTCGACGTTGAGAGCAGCTGCCAATCCAAGCATGATAGTTTGTTGCCCGCAACATTCAGGATTCTTAAATGCTTGAGCGTGAGAAGCCCCGCTGCACCAAAACTGCTCACTGCATTGCCATGAAGATCCAGGACTTCGAGATTCTCCAGACAACCACAAGTATTTGATCCAGCTCGCGTGAGGTCCAGTTCGCCTTCGATGGAATTGTCAGCAAGAGAGAGCTCTCGTAGCTTGGGTATCTGGCTGATAATATCGAGAATATCGGTGGTGAGCTTGTTGCCACTCAAGTTCAGGGTGTGAAGTCGTTCCAGCATAGGCAAGCCTTGCGGGAGTCGCGTCAGACGGTTTCTGTGCAAATCGAGAACCTCTAGCCCAAGAAATTGGTGGTTCATCTCCCCATCACCTTTCGTTACGTCAGGAAACATATCTTCGTTCAGCTCCTCAAGGTCGTTATCAGCCGCATTCAGCTTAGTCAGGTCTACCAGGTCTGCCCAATTCGTTGTAAGGTGCTCTGGATCGTACATGTGCATGACCTCTGTGGGTATCGTCTTCAAATTCATTGCTGCAATGTTGAGGTAGCCAGAAGCTGTGGCCTGCTGAATGCGCTTGCGCAAAAGGCCATGGTTGTTGCCACCGTAAGACAAGTCGTCTTCAACGAAACTAGTGGGCCAACTAGAAGGGCCCTGGCACGATACATCGGTGGGGTCCGCACTCTCTCGAGCTTTCCTCTTTGCTGCTTTGGCTTTTGCAATTGTCTCTCGGAGAGCGGCTGAAGACTTTGGCGGAGTATCTGCTTGCGATGCCTTCAATGTGACGACCGTTGGATCTTGGTGCAGCATGGTATGCCTCTTTGCTTTCGAATTTGCCCTCGGCGGTGTTGAGGGAGCCAGGGTATTTTCACCTCTCGATCTCGGCTTCAGCAGGGCTGCGGAAGACCCAACACCCGAGACTGCAACCTTGCTACTGGATCTCGCTGAGGATGGAGGTTCTCTGAAAAGAGAGGACAGAGATCCTTTCGACTTTAGAGTCGGCGATTTAACGGCTCTCTGTCCATATGTTGGTTGGACTTTCACGGTTTGTGACGTATATTTCAACGGCGGCGCTGCATTGGGCTCCTTAGACGGTATATCGAAGGCCGAACTAGCGGACCTTCGAGGCTCCCGCAGAGGCTTCGCGATTCGCGAGCGTTGGCCTTTGACGAAAGCCTTGGGCGGTGTATAAATCTCGCCAGGCGAGACAACTGGCGGTAACGTCGTCATGTCTTTGGTGGGAGACATCCTGCCAGGTGGCCTAAAAGGCCTTTTATTTGGTGAATCTGGTCGGGAGGATGTATGGGACGGAGTGGGTGAGGCCTCTCGAGGTCGTGGCATATCGTTCATTCCGGGCTTTGAAGTAGGATTTTCATTGCCAGCCACAAATACCGGGCCATCAGAAAAGGTCCCAGGGGGAGTAGTCACCATGGCTGAAGACTGCACGTCCGTAAGGGCATCTCGTACGGGAGACCTGCTCCTCACGTTCGCCGGTTTGTCAGCCCAGCCGTATCGCGACCGAATTGACTGATTGAAATTCTCTCTCAACGGCGTGGGTGGCCCTGTGGGGCGAGGCAGATGTGATATCTTGCGTGGTTCATCGTGATGAATGTCCAAAACAGTTGACGAGCGCGCAGAAAGTTTTAAATTGTCGATCGAGGCCATCGCACGTGGCATGGGCAGCTTGGACAGATGTGAAAGGCTGCTGCCACGGATTGGGATGTGAGATCCCTGCTCCTGGTGGTGGTCCATGCTTTCGACCTGTATATCGACTGGGGTAGGTTGCTCCGTCAAAACTTCCTCGAATTCAGCCGTACCACCATCGATCCCTGCTGTGTCGTAGCAGTCGGTGCCATGGAGTATCCAAGTTTAAGGTGTTTCTTCCAGGATGGCGAACCTCGAAAAATTAAATCCGGTGTTGACGTCCACCGCAACGATAAGGGGTCGGTTGCCCAAAACAACGGCGCTAACGGGAAAGCAACCTCTGACGCCGCTCTGGCTCTAATCCGTCTTTGGTTAGCCCGTTGACGCCAGGGTTGCCTCTGGGGAGCGCTTCGGCGCCTGTTTTACGCGTCACAGCCGTCGCCCGGGCACGCCCAACACGCCCCAGGCACGCCTCTGGGTGACAACGAGACAAGGCTGGCGTCTTGCCCCACCTCTCACCAGCCTCTCCGAATCCCAGCTCCTACTCCGTACTTCAACTCTTCATCACCGCCGCTCAAATATCATGTTGCGTCCGTGCATGCTGCGATCCCCTCTCGTTATCCCAGTCTAAGTCAGGTCCCAAGCTCTCGCAGATTTCCATGACAATGTCGTGATCGCAACCTCGGTGAGAGCGCACCGTTGCAGGAAGACACCCGTCCGACACTTCAGTCGACTCCGTCTATCAATAGCATCGGTCCCGAGTGACACCTCGACAGCACAGTTTGCGCAGATCTTACAGTCCAGTCATTGGGTTCTCCAGATCCCAGATTTCAAGGCCATCACAAGACAATCCACATTCAATCTTACGCTATATCAACTTCAATCATCATGGCAAACTCGCAAGCCAGCGCAGACCACTCGATGCCTCCGGCGACTCCACCGCCCGCTCGGACTCGCTCGGCCGATAGCATGAACAAATCTGCCTATACATCGCCTCCTCCGATGTCTGCGTCTATGACCCCCCCGCCGTCCACACAACTTCCCCGCTTCCAGTCACCCATCAACCAACTCACTACCAGCGACGAAGAGACTCGACTCGCTTCCCCCCCTTCAACCACCGCCAGGGCCAATGTCCTTAGCGCGCTACCTACGCCAGATGCTATTGCAACAGCAGATGTCGAAGGGTTGCGAATCATGGTGAAAGACTTGGTTGCGGCAGTCCGAGAAGCAAGAACCTCGGCCGCTCACTTCAAACTACAGCACAATTTGCTTGCGATGGAATCGGAAGAAGCTGCACAACGAGCTGAGATCGAACACCAAATGACTCGAAGGGAAGTTGAGGTCCTTCAGGCTGCCGAGTACAAGCACCGTACTATGTCTCAACGCAACTCGCTGCCGCCGCCGCCACATCCACAGATCGAGGCACTGACAGCGACTTGCAAGGCGTTGGAAGAAGAGCGCGATGAAGCAGAGAGACGACTAGCACGAGCGAAGAAGCTGGTCGAACTGCAGAGGGATAGATGCGAGCTGCTGGAAGAAGAAAACCACTTACTGAAGAAGAGAATCCGAGAAAACCGGGAGCATTTCACCAGGCTCAAGAGCATGTCACCCTCGTACACAACTCCTCGGGATGCGTTTACTACACCTCAACGTAAGCCGGTACCTCAATTTCCGCAGTCTGCACCAAATGTTTCCAACATCGCCGCCCTCCTTGCGGCCGGTGAAGTACTTAGCGGAGAGAGTCTCAGTGTGCCGTCGACCCCCACTCGGACTCATACCTCGAAACTAAAGCATGGTCACACCCGTGGGGCACACTCCCTTTCATCCCTTCAAACCACACCCCTTCAGACTCGGCCGAAGACTCAAGAAGGCTATCCAGAACCTATGGTAGCCCTCTCTGCGCCTGCTTCTCAATTGGTAATCGAGTCTGCGGAAAGAGAACGTCATGACCGTGACAGTACCATATCGATATCTGACGTTGAAGAAGCCGTCAGTGACGATAATGTTCAGCAATCTCAGGCGAGCTCCATGGCCAGCGAAATGTTGCGAAGGAACCCAGGCAGTCAAGAGAGCTTAAGACTGTCACAAGGTGCAGAGCGGTCCAGCAACCTCTTACAAAGCAAGCTGTTCGGACCGATCAAGAAATCGGGTCATTCAAACAAGAGAGGACCAAGTAACGAGGAGATAGACATCAAGGCGAAAAAGGCAAAGGTAGCCCAAGGCGTTGGGCTTGGGATTGAATCGTGGAGTCAAGCCTAGGTGAAACGAGACGAATGTTGAAATGAGTGATGCTTGGAGACAAATGATCAGATGACGAGTGCTTGGAGAGATGATTGTATTGATACCCTCGATTCCTCTCAGAGGTGGCGTTGGCAAGTGATTTTCGGAAGTCATGCGTTACAGTAAGATGCCTCTCCTGCGTTAGGATGTCTCTACCACAGATAGCTCATGCTCAATCTTATCAATGAAGATGGTCTCAGCTTCAACAATTTAACCGTTCGTACAGAGTACAAGAAGACCTGCACGCGCCTCTGAGTGCGCATGGTGGGCGTTGGGTCGTTTGTCCGTGCATCTCTGAAACACCGTCAGTTTCGAGACGTCTCGTGGTGGTAAGTGGAAGCCAGCCTGCCGAACAGAGCGAAACAAGGCTGGGAGAGAAACCAGCGAGGCTGGCATTCGGATTCGGAAACTGCAGGGTCAAGCCAAGTCACATGACACACAATGCCAAGCGAATTTTGGGCAGTGCTCCACACCAAAAAGTTCACGGCACTGCAGGCCAGCACCTCCAGATTGACGAACCTCACCTCACCGTCGTTCCCTTTGCACCCACACACGCTTGTCGACATCGTCATTTCGCAGCAATGGCGATCAAGCACAACCAGCAACTCCCCAACAATCACTTCCACAAGGACTGGCAGCGCCGCGTGCGCGTGCATTTCGACCAGCCAGGCCGCAAGTCTCGACGCCGAGCCGCTCGTCTGGCCAAAGCCGCCGCCGTTGCGCCCCGTCCAGTCGACAAGTTGAGGCCTGTGGTCCGATGTCCTACGATCAAGTACAATCGACGTGCGCGTGCCGGTAGAGGGTTCACAGTGCAGGAGTTGAAGGTATGGAGTTACAAGTCCAGTTTTCGATCTCAGCCTCGACCCCACAATCTCTTTGAATTTTGCAACAAATTCCCCTTCCTTGTCTTTTTGGAGTCTGCATTGGATGGAGAGTGTCGAACGTTTCGTTCTCTTGTCCACATTGCCATCAGAGACTACCGTTCTATGACTCTCGGACCTTTGAAAGCCACTTGCCATGCCAATCCCCCACACCTCACCTCACGCACAGAAATCCAGTTCCGCTAACAGCTCTCTTTTCCTCCCCCCTCTAGGAAGCCGGCATCCCCCGCAAACTCGCATCCACAATCGGCATTGCCATCGACCCGCGCCGCCTAAACACCAACCAAGAAACGCTGACGCTGAACGTCCAACGCCTCAAGACCTACAAGTCGCGCCTGATCCTCTTCCCCCGCAAGTCCGGCCAGTTCAAGAAACTCGACAGCTCGGAAGACGACGTCAAGCTGGCCTCTGACAGCAGCAAGATCGCCAAGAAGATCACTGGCGTCCTGCCGATCGACAGCGGCGTGGGCATCAAGCATGCGTTCAGCGAGGTGAAGAAGGGTGACATGCCCAGCGGCGAGGAGGCTGCGTACACGAAGTTGAGGAACCTGAGGGCCGACGCGCGGTACGTGGGCGCACGGGAGAAGAGAAACAAGGCCAAGGCCGAGGCTGAGGAGGCGAAGAAGAAATAAGCCGGGGCCGGCTGCTTTTCAGGTCGACAATGACGTGGTTCATGTGGTCAAGAGAGGGCAAGGCTTGCATGCTTGCTTGGGAAGACGGGGTATCAGCAGCAAGCTTGAAAGCGATTAGCTCCTTGAAGCAATCTTTTGCATTCAGTAGGCCTCAGATCGGTGCTTCGTGCGTGCCAAGCTACTGGGGGAAAGTTGTGTGCATGTCATCGGTTTGTGGTAAGGACAGAGCAATGAGGCCATGGCATGGCATACGAATGTGATGCTCTTGCCGCAGGTGCAAATCATCGATCAATCTTGTCCTGGCTTTCAGAGCGGGTGCGTGAGAAAAAGCATAGGCAAGGTCAATGAAATTCAGATTCAAGTCAAAGACGATGATTTCTTTGTTGGCACCTTGATCATCAACTATCCGTTGCTTGCCACCGACAGCGAACCGTGATTTGTGTGCTCTCTGTGCTCGTATGGTCAATATCCGACCCTGTGGCGCCTGCAACAGGCATATTGATGCTTGTAAGCGTCTCATCGTACTCGTGAAATCATAGCATCTTTGAATCTGTGTACATTAACCGTGGCTCATTCGTTTCCCCGTCGCTTCTTTCCCTTTCCCTTAGCACTGTCGAACTTGTACTCCTCCGCCTCACTATGAATCACGCTCCAGACGTTCTCGAACGCACCCTTCACGCCCACCCTTGGGACGAGGCTGCAGAAGATGGTCTTCAACCCAGGCTCTGCCTTCAGAGGGATGCCACTGGCGGAGATCTGAATGTTCGAGGTGAGGCCGCCAGCCCAGTCCAAGTCGATTTTCCAAGTCAGCATGAGTTTCTTCCGGTACTTCTTGCCGCCAGTGGTTTCTATCACATCGACATCAATGGCAGAGTTTTGAGTGCTGTCCAGATATCGTGCCAGTTCAATGCATGTCTCTCGATTCCACCCTTCGTCTTTTACGTCTACCTGCCCGGTGACGTCGGATTGGAGTCTTTTGTACTTCAAGTCAATCCATCGGAAGACTTTGGCCCGTTCCACCGCGGCATTGAACCATCGTCCCATGCCCCAAACCAGGCCGCTAACGTCAAGTCGATGGAGAGGGTGCTCTAAGCGGTCATGGACCCATCTGTAGATTTCGGCCTTGTTCGACTTGGTGCGGCGAGTAACGGCCAACATTACTTCGTTCAGTTCCACATGTTCAATCTGTGCGTTCTCGGCATCAATGGCGACTTCAAACACGCAGAAGAGAGCATTCGGGAGCCACGGAGGCGGTGCTTCCACCTTCAGCCGATGGATGATCTTTGTTCGATCTTTTATGAGTTTCGTCTCAGTATGACTTGTAAGTTGTAAATTGGCCGGCGCGAACAATGTCAGGTATGTAGAGAAGTTGTCTCCCTCCTTGCCAGACTTCGATATCCGAAGGGTATCATTCCGCAGGAGAGACTGTCGGAGGATAGCTAAGGTTTCCTCGCTCAAATTGTTATCGTCATCAATAGCCTTCTGAAGGTGCTGACAATCTTGCCTCAGCTGCTCCAGTTGGCCCTGCAGCGACCGAAGTGTTGAATGTTGCTCATCCGACACTGTAGGATCTTCCACATTCTCTTGGTGCGCCACAACAGGCTCACTCTCTGGTGCTTCCTGAACATCCTCCTCAGTAGCCTCTTCATCCGGTGCTTCCTCGTTGTCGGATTTGGCCGCTTGGGGTGCCTTTGTTTTGAGCGGGCTGCTTGTGATGGGCGCACCCGACCGTGTCCTCTGTCTTTTAGAGCTCCTGCTCATGTTCGAGGATCTGGGGCTGCTGCTCGATGCCAGGCCTCGAGGACGTTCGGGCGCGGGACTTAAGCCAAGTTCGATAGGCGTAGGCGGCAAATCGGGCTCGCCAGACAGACCGCGAGGGAGTGGCCTAGCGGATAACTCTTTCCTTGATACCAGTTGTGGTAATATGATCGGTGGTGCAGGGTCTTCGTCCGAGGTGCTCCTTTCTCGGCGTCTATCTTGTGTTGGTTGTCGTTCGTTCAAAGGGAGGCGGTCGCGTTCACTGCGCTGTGTTGAATTCGCGCCGACAGCAGATTCTTCCGCGGTATGGTCCAGATGTGTCTCGGACGCCCCCTCATTCCCCTGTCTCGGAGCTGGATCATCAGCAGCATCCAAGCGTTGAGACTGCTGGATTTGGGACACAGTCTTTGGTGCTTGCACAGGTTGAGTTGTTGCGCTCAGAATCTCGTCTCGCAGTGCTTTGCCTCTCGGTTCGGTGGCAGAGCGTCGATTAGAACGAGTGATGAGGTGGGGGTGTGAGCGGGCTAGAGAACTTTTTGTCGGCGAGAGGTACGACGCTCGGGTCGGGGTAGTGGGTTGTCCATTTTCGCGGCCGGTATCGTCGATAGTGGCGGACTGACTGTGGTCGAGTTTTCGCCTCTTCGGTGAAGCTTGTTGCATCGTGGCTGTCGCTGCCGTGGTTGTTGACACAGTCTCGATGAGGGATGTGCTGCCCTCTCCCTCGCACTAGACAGAAGGCGCGTCTGAGGGCTGGACGCGACCGATGCCAAGCCTTTACCCGTGACACCACGAAATAAACTCAAAGGGAAATTCTTCCGACCCACCAATGACGATATCCTCGATTGTGATTTTCGGGTTTGGGTTTCGGAGCAAACAGCCAGCAGGCGTTGGAGCCAATGAGCGAAGAGATCCCATGAGGGAGCAAACGACGTCATCAAGGTGCAACGGAAGCTTGCCCTCGGCACTCTCCATCACCACCACAGGAACGTACCAACCTTTTTCCCACCGAACTCGAGGACCTCCCATTCATAGAGAGGCAGACACCAGGTGTTCAAACGCATTCCTAGCGACTTGAAACAGATCATTCGAACTTTCGGTTCTCCGGACAACTCTCCTTGACTTCCATATCTTCCCTCACGATGTCATACCTCGCCAGGGCATCGGCCCCCCTGCGGAATGCCGGAAGAGCTTTCACCTCCAGATCAATTGCAGGCTTCCACACCTCAGCAGCACGACTAGCTCTCAGCGAAGATCATCCTCGTGCGTAGTTACACTTGTCCTTGCCATCGGCACACATACTCGTCCCACGGAGGCGCAGCTCAAGCTGCTATCGAGACAGGCCTGCGTGCCGATTGCACCCCTTCGTGGTGATATATCTCTGTGGGAAGCAATTTAACTGACTGTGATCTACCTGTTGCAGATAACGAAGGACGAGCCGAAAATATCGACCGTCACAAAGCCGATTCCCTCGACAAAGCGAAGACCGGACGGGGAGAATGGAAGCCTGAGCTAGCATCTCAAAGCGAACAGATCACGCATGCCAGCAAGAACGACATGACAATGGAAGAAATGCAAAATTTGACCAAGCAGAAGGCCGAGAAGGATAAGAGTGGCCAGAACGACCCTTCCAAGTGACCTCAGGGCCTACTGAACCCTGATGGGAAACTTCCATGAGAAGGATGGCTACAAGAACGATGCCGAGAAGAGAAGCGGACGTTAATACCCTTGAGTGGTAAGAGTGATGACTTTTGATATCTGCAAAAGCAGTGGATGATCGAGTGGAGGACTCCAGTCTGTACATACCGGCGTAGCTTCTTCTAGGAAGGCCCTCGGTCATTGAGAAATTCCCAAACGCTTCTGAAAGCTATTTCCAGAAAAGAAAGGACCATAAGATTCGGACCCTATGGCATCGGTAGTGGCTGGCAATCTGACTGACGAACACCACCGTTTACGAACTGCGCGGCAAGTACTCTAGACGATAAGGGTACATGCTGGCTATCATGATTTCAACTGAGCGCACAGGACTCGGAGTGTGTCTCTGTTAAACGTGACATCGAGACCAGGTCATCGTCTGGTGCGGCCGTTAACATCTATCCATCTTCTCCGCCACGGGAAAAGAACCACCACGCTCGCCAAACTGTGCCTGTCTGATGAAACTGCCAACCTAGTGCAGATACCCAAAGTCCTAGTATAACGGTGATCCGTGCAGTCGTCGTCGTGCGAGATGCGAGCTATTTTAACGGCGACCTCTTACCGGTCTGTATCCAGAACTTAATGGTGTTTCTGATAAAAGTCCGGTACCAGTGCGACTCGGGCTGAACGCAACCGTTGGCTTGACTGCCATGTCTTACTTGCTTCGGCAGAACGCGGTCTGGCTAGCAAAAGGGCAAGTGTCATACACAAGCCGGGAGGAAACGCCCTGAGCAGACGACGGAATGTACCTATAAGAAGGAAACGTGATCCAGGGCAGCCCGGTAAGTAGCAACGAGAATGCATCAGCAGCACGAAACCGTCCTGAACAGGCTGACGGACTGTGTGTCTAAAGCCATAGCCTCCTACTGCAGAGTACGGAGTAAGCAAGCGTCTCTTTCTGACGTCTGCTGTTCTCGAGGAGAGCGTAAGCCGGAATCGGTCATTGCAAAAGGTGGACGCTGACCTGGGGATAGCTTGGTAACATGACGACGGTATACAAGCGAACTCCGTATGGAGAAGTCATTTCAGCAATCATTTGTTGATCAAGTTCTATGTTGAACGTCAAGAGTAACACTACTGCGTGTACTCCGTAGTATGAGCAGACAACAGGTCCCTTGCTTCTGCGCTGCGCCATGTTGACAATGGTTACAGCCATGTCAGGAACATACATGTACTCCGTACTGAGTTTGCGTAGTAGTCCGCATAAGGATCCACCACAGGTAGAGTCTCGGCCGCAAAAACAGTTCAGGGCAGCTGCACCAGCAACAGTCAAAATGAACATTTTTGCCCACTCTGTGATTCGAACACAGGATCTTCTCATTGCATCCGGTAAATCGGTACGAGTGACTGGTTGTCTGTTAGATACTGTGTTGCGGTAGACATAGGGTCACGTTGACATACGACGCCTTACCCCTGGGCCAAGCGGGCGGGGTGCCTTGCATTTCTGTGGCAGAAATTTGAGGTCACTTTTGCCTATAGTTTGTTATATAGTATAAGTTTTCTTGGAGACGGTGCTGAGCCGAACTGACTTCAAGAATGGATGCAATCGGCTATTGCCACTTTCAGCCACTGCGGCAGTCTGTGCTCCTACATAACTCGCTCCGCCCTGCTCCAAACTATTTGCTGCTAAGCCTCGGCCTACACCTAATACGGTCGTACCCCAAACAAGTCTCATTGAATTTGAGGTATCATCTTGCGCTGAGGCAGCCTGACGGGGTACAATTCTCGCATCCACGCGGTTGTGCAATCTACACAGTACAGCACCTGGGTGCTAAGAACGACCTTGGGGCCACTCCATACGTAGCATTTTTTCTCGAGAAGCTACGCGATCGCCTTGGTTAAGGGGAAGTGCAGCGCTGTGATGTTCGCGGTCTTGACGTAAAGTTGTCTCAAAGTGCTAGACAGAATGATTAGCCGACGAAGATGACCTTGTCTATGAAACATCATAGGCTCGCGTCGGATATGCTGGTTCGAGATGCCGTTGACCAACGGTGGTTTGAGGCTGCCACGTTTCTCGCACAGTCTCCTGGGCAGAGACCAGTGACACCAAGGCAACTCATAGACGAAATTCGATGGACTGACTCCGTACTCCGTACTATCATGCACGAGGCGATTCGCTATGTGGGCGAAGATCCTTCGTGCTGAAGTTGGCTCCAGAATGACCAGGTTGAGCTGAGCAGGGGTCCGTAGTGAAAATGTGCACGCGAGCTCACCAAGAGACCACGGGGCACCAGAAGTGGCGAGGGCAAGACCTGGTGTCTCAGTTCAGCCCCGCGGAAGACTGAGCCACATCACTCGCATAAGGAATGACTACGAGCCACTATTACCACGTGGAATCAAGCCACACCAGCCACATTCTCGCTGCATCCGGTCTGCAATCCTTTCGAAGCGAGGGCTGTTTTCGGCAGAAGAAGTGGGCGAGACGTCTGTAGAACCAGGGAGGTGCCTGTTCGGGCGCGCCGATGGCAGGGGCAGCCGCGGAGACTACCCAGAGAGGAAGATGCACGCAGGCGAGCAACGGAATAGGCAACTCGAAAGCCACAGTGCATGAATCGAGACCTGGCCAGGACCTGGCCAAGGTGCTCGTATACTCGTCATGGCCACCAAAAGGGCAAGGGAGATCCGGTCGGAACATGACGGCTCTAGAGCATGGAAACCCCGCCAGAGGCACAGAGGGGGTACCATTATCCGGGGAGGCTTGATGGAAGCGACAACGAATGCAGAAACCGGTTTACGTCAAGGCGAGGAGAGAAATGAGGTTTTGCGTGAGGGCGAAAATCTCAATTCCGATCTCCGACTGTCTCTCCTCTCTGGGGCCCGTTTGTTGTGCATAGGCGGACGCGGCGCGATAATCACAGGGACTGAGAGGTGTTAGACTCTCCCACTCGGACTCAGTCGCCGGGGTTGGGTGGTGAAAACAGGTAAGCAAGCGAGTGAAGACCCCGAGAGCAGGGGTATTCGCCGAGTTGGGCCTCGATAGACGATAGTAAGCCCGAAAGCAGCGGCAGCAGCACTGCAGACATCCCAAATGAGCGGCAAGTAGTACGGATCTAGCACAGGGCAGAGACGTCAGGATCGCGAGGAAGAGGAGAAGCGACCGAGAATCAGCGACGGGATCACCCCAGTGCAGGCTTGAGAGGTCAGAACGCCCGCTGATAGACGCCGAATTTTCTGCTTTCGCGCTGCAAGATCTAGGCGGGATTGTGTGATAGCCGTGCTCCGTTCTGTCAATCGCTTGTCAATCGCGCAGCAGAACACAAATCATCACAGATCTGCCCCGTAGCGCTTGGCTAGCCCATAGTAACCCGGCGATGGGCCATTGGCTTGGGAGGCGTTGGTGTCTCCGTGACTTGTCCCGCAAGAACAGTCGACTGGTAGCCATCACTTCGCTCTCAGTAGCCGGTAGTCGAGACCTGTGGGAAGGGCATGTTCCTTGATGTCCCATGTCCTCAGCTGCTTCTCGACGGGGCATTGATGAGCATCAGGCTGGAAGCACTCGAGAAGCAGTAACAGGTCAACATCGCTAAAGCATCAGATAGCGCCCCTCCAAGAGCCAGCGCCATGACGGCTGTTCAAGCCCCAACAGCGATGCTCGTTACGAGTAGTCAAAGAGCCCTGCATCCTCATCTTTGCGGCAGGACCCAGTGTTTGCCCGAGGTCCCTTTACCCGGGCGGCCCACTAATTAAGGGCCCTAGTCGTCGGCCTCCCCCGGTAAGCCTCAGGGCCTGTCCCTGGTCAACCTGAGGATAGCAAGGCTAGCCGCTAGGCTGGAACCTGCGCCTATTCATCCCTGGCCGTAGTGTTTGGGGGACTGCCGAATGATGGTGGTCATGGTGCCGTCTGGAGGCCCTGGCTGCTCTCCCCGGCCAATGACTGGGGGCTTCCTGGTCGCCTTCTCCGTATCTCTAGCTCTGATTCCTCTGCGCAAGCGAGTCTCAGGCAAGCAAGCATCTTTCTTGCGAAACGAAAAAAAACGAGACTGCAGCACCAACTCGAAGCCACACCCTAAATTGTCAGCCGGTGCCAGACTCCTGGATCGCCCAGGGTTATACTGCAGCTTCCATCGAGACTACCTTCCATCATGTTCAATGAACTCAAATCGCGTCAACGCCTGGACCCTCTCGTCTTTTCTTTCTTTAATTGTCTTTCCCCCACGTCCTAGCATTGGACCTCCATACCACGAGCACCTCGTTGCGCAAACCTCAAACACCATTCACGCTGCGATATATTCGACTGCAGCGTGATCCCCAGCGCCGTCGCTCCCAACATCGCAAAGGTACTTAGGTATGTCCGGCTTTCTCAATGTTTGGGTCAATGTCGTCATCGTGGCAATGGAGGCGGCTCGGTATCTCTGTCCTTGCAGCAAGCTGCATATCCCAGGAATCATTCATTTGGAGCGCCACGCGCATTCAGAGTTGGCGACAACTTGATGTCAGACGCGAAGACTCCCTGGTCTTCGCGATATGGCTGTTTTGCCAATCTATCGAGCGATCAGCGCCCTCTCAGTTTCTCCAGCTCCCCAGCTCCTCTGTTCCATCTTCTCTCAATGCATGCTGAGTCTTGTTCTGACTAACTCGACGGCCGGACAGACTCGTCGCGACTGCTTACCTATCCCCAAACTGCACGTTCACACACCATTATTGCGAGAACAGCTCTTCAGCAGCGACATCCCGGGGTAGGACGAACCGCAGATCACAACGCACGGCCATGAAACCCCGATAAAGTTTTCAAGCTGGCGCACTACCAACTTTCCTCGAACCAGCCCGCAGCGGCTCTGTCTTCGTTGACTACAACTGAGGCAAGAGCTGCCAACATTGCGCCCTCCCGCAGGACGAGTGGCGACGCGCTGTCTGTGCAGACCTCACAGCTGTCTCCGAGGCTGGATCCTTCGAAGACCTTACCTTCGTCTTACATGCTCCTGACCCCGCCTTACGCAACAGCAGATGCAGCTCACGATCAACATTCCATGACCCGGGACTCGTCGACCAAATCGACGCCCACTTCGCAGGCACTTCAGAACAGCCCCCTTTCGATGAAGGAGACTGAGGCTCCTCAGCCGAAGCCGGACAACGTCCCATCGACGAAACCCAAACGAGTTAGAACCGGCTGTTTGACATGTCGCGAGAGGCATCTCAAATGCGACGAGGGCTTACCGAATTGTCAGAACTGCAAGAAGTCCAATCGCAAATGCAAGCGCGGCATTCGCCTGAACTTCATTGACATATCATGCGACCCGACTCTGTATGTCGTGCCTCGACCGCAGGATTGGAAGATCACCTTTCAGGATGATTCCCGCGACATTGCTTCCGAATATCAGGGCGGTCTCGAGAAGTACCATCCGCTTGAACCAGAGCCGAAACGACAGAGGTTGGACATGCCAGAGATGACCTACGATTACGGACATATTGCCGCCCCGCTCATGGCTCATCAGCCGCTACCTGGTCCACAATACTCGAACACTTATCCCGAACCACCTCAAGCGATTTACTCGACTGCGACAAACCATACCTTTGATGAAGCAGGAAACACCATGGCATCCTTCTCAGACCCTAGCCAAGCAGTTAGGCAACATTATCCACCAACGATGATGGCCCCTTCTGAACCAGAAGAATCCTTACCCTTCTTAGAGGACCGTGACGAGGTCTTGTACATGCAGGTATTTGTGGAAGAGGTGGGACTGTGGATGGACTCTATGGACCCCGACAAGCATTTCACTCGCGTCATTCCTTTCCAAGCACTCAAGGAGCCTATGCTGCGATACGCGCTCCTGGCGTGTGGGAGTCGGCACCTGACTTTGATCAGTTCAATTTATTCTGAAGAGCACGCGCTGAACTACTACAACCACGCGACGAAGCTGCTACTGAAGTCCCTCCAAAATCCTGACCGAGACAGTGTATTATGTGCCACCACGGCTACCATCCTCAATGTCTATGAAGTCATGTCCGAGAAAGCTCTGCAGAGGATGAACCATATCGCAGGCGCCCGTGCGTTGATCAAGGAATGTCGATGGGACGCCACCTCCACTGGTATCGGTTCTGCCTGCTTCTGGCTGAACGTTGGGCTAGAGCTGTTCAGCTGCTTGCATTTCAACTGGGGTGTCGCTTGGGACCCCGATACATGGGGCATCAATATGAACATGGAACCTCAACGCGTTGGCGGGCACGAAGAGGACTGGACCCACAAGATGCTCTGGATTCTGTCCAAGATCACCAACTTCCGGGCCGAAGCGCAGCGACGATATCACGACGGCAGCGTACACGCGGAGCAAATGCGCTTACACCAACGGCATCAGCAGTGGCTGGGTCTCGAGCAGTTTTGTGACCGCTGGAATAAGTGCATTCCACCCACCATGCACCCGCTTGGACAAGTTCCGTCATATCTGACAAAGTCGAAAAGTTCGTTTCCGGAGCTCTGGCTGATCAAAAGGACAACCATCGTCGCAAGATTGTTCTATCATACGGCCATGGCCTTGCTTGGCGCCGTGCATCCCCTGGCGACTATGCAGCCTCAGACGGCAGAGGAGATGCAAGAAATGAGACTACATCATTCGAGACAGATCTGCGGTATCGTGGCCCACGTCAAAGACAGGGGCGTCGCCTCGGCTTCGATTCGATGCCTGGCAGTAGCTGGAGAGAATCTCACGTCCAGACGTGAGCAAGAAGAAGTACTCCAAATTTTCGATCGGATCAAAAAGGAGACTGGCTGGCGCGTGGATTTCATCCACGACGACCTCCGCGAGAAATGGGGCTGGACCAGCAGTGCCCCAGACTACGACAGTGTAAGCACAACATCGACATACTGTCCATCTTCGACGTCCTCGACGCAGGCGGCCGCGACATCTTCACGACCCAAATATCCCGTCGGGATAGTCAATCCATTATACAAGAACGCCGACTTCTCCGCCCAGAACCCGCCCTACCAGGGGAATTATGTGCCTCCGACGCACGCAAATGTTGTCCATAATGAAACACAAATGTTTGGATTTTCTAGCATCGCAGCGATTTGAGGCTGAGGCGGAGTCGTCCTCGCTGCAACAGAACCAGGGCACCACAGGACCTGGCATCAACGACGGGTATATATCGCAATATAATAATGGCGCTGGTCTACTTTGGTTGCGGGCCCTCTGGAAACGAATAAGTGGGCGGATAGGCAGGCAGGCGGACAGGTGACAGAGTCTTCTGAACATGATGTACTCCATCATGATAGATAACGGCCAGGGATTGGATGGGTGGTGTGCCGGTATCAAACATAGTTAATTTTGTGTTCGGTCTGTCGGTCTGTCAGTCGTTTACTCACTCAGTCACTCAGTGAGTATAGTAGTAACGGAATTAGGGAAACAGCAACACACCCTCCTGGGGAGGGTAGAAAGGGAGCAAGGGACGCACAAGGCAAAATAATACTAGTCAAATAGCAGGCCCAGACCGGAGTTGAGTTCGCCGGGCCGTGAATAATATGTACGAGACCCCGGGATTTACAAGTAGTAAAATAAGGGGTTGAATCTCTCGATCGAGGACCCCGGGAATCATATAAGTAACTAAATAATTAATTACCTTGTCCGCCATGCCAGGGGTACAAGGGTGCGAGGGTTCGAGGGTGCTCTTGTTTATATGTTTCCAGCATCTACTGTACTGTATTAATCTAGTGGTCCCGGAATTTTTTTTGGTTGGTTCTTTCTTTCTCTTCTATCAAGTCTCGGAGTCTTCTAGCGCTTCTGTTTCTTCCACTCGCCTCGGAAATACCGAGTATTCGAACTGGACGGTACTTTGTAGACGAAATGGAATGGGGCACGAGCCAGAGCCAGAGCCAGAGCCAGAGCCAGAGCCAGAGCGGAACACACAGCCTTGCGAACTCTATTCCGCTGCACACCAAGTAGTTCGAGAGTCCCCGTGTACATGAGGGCAACTACATGCTGTAGTGAGACGGTTCTTGTTGGCAGCACTGACCTAGATGGCGCTCCGGCTCGGAAAGAAAGCTCCGGCGGACAGAGCAGGAGGAGGGAAGGACATCTACAGTACGACTGAGAAAAGCTCAACAGTCGGTACCTCAACCAGCTTAAAGTGGACCACCACCGACGACGGGGTCAGGCTTGAGTTTCGAGTTATATATGATACAGACAATAGCGAAGTTTTTACATTGCTGAATTCCACGCAATGGCTCAAGAATAAGAACGCCTTCTTCTTTCAAGATATACTTGTACCAGAACATGACACTCCGCGGTTGGCGAACATGATACTCCGCGGCTGGCGATTCCTCGTGACTCTACTTCCCCGTAGCAATGAGTCTAACACGGACCTACCTTCGTGGGTTGTGGACTCACTCACTCACCTATCTGTCTCGTCTGCCTGGCCCAACCGCCATCCACATGGCTGCAAGCTGCCAGTCATGAATAGCCGCGGAACGGCAAACAGCGACACTCACCACTCTTCACGGATCCTTGTTCAACATTTCACAACTTACATATCCGCCGTGGATAATAGCCCTCGTGTAGTCTGCCACATTGGTCCGCTCGGACGAAAGAGCGAGTCGGCATCTTTGGCATGCGGCTCGGGGTGGATACCGATCGGAATGGCGGCGGTGAATCAGGTGGTGTGAGTGGTAGCTGATGAGGAGTTTGGTTCGTGAACGACGTTGTCTCTGTCCGCTTACGCTTGGTGCTTGACGACTTCGGCGTCAAAGACCGCGTAGCGAGGTTCTCTTCGAACTGAAGAGCCACAGGGGAGTGGTCACCCTGGTAACCTTGATCCTGGTAAGCATGTCTTTCCCTGACGCTCCAGAGTGCCGGCCAACTTCTGCCTGCCAGCTGGTTTTGGAGGACGTTTGCCGGTGTGCGGTGTAAGTTTACCGGCTGTACAAATCCCCAGGGTGTGCCTATGGGTTGTGGTGTGCTCCGCTGTTGCCTGTTCGCCGGCTGCGTGATAGATCTGGTGGGCGTACGGGGTGGGATCGTGGTGGTGTTGTGTTTGTTAGGGTCGTCGCTGCAGTTGACATACTCGGCTTCGGGAATGACGTGTGGGCCTTGAGCCGCCTTCTCTCCCATCGCGGCCTGGTTGATGCTCGCCAAATCTCGCCCCGACCACTGAACGTCCCAGAATGTCAACAGAGCCCACAGCTTGATCAATGAATGGAAGTAGGCGAAGAGGTAGTATGTAGGGAGATAAATCAGATCCCGTGGATGGCGCCAGAAATAGGGCAATAGTTTCGGAAGTTTCGAGGCAAGGATCCAAACGCATAATGCCTTCAGAACACTCCGAGAGCAGAAATCTGTTCGAGTCAGCGTCCACACCATGGCGCCGTCGTAGAAGAGCGCGAAATTCACCATTTGACTGATCATAAGCGCGTAAACAGACCATGGTTGAGCTTGATAGACCGATCGATCGGTAATCAGCGAGCACAGGTTGCTTCTGAATGTGGTGCGTGCCCATCGAAGGCACTGCTTGAGGAATTTGGGATACACTCCGACATCGCACAAGATCAGAGCATCGCTGGTGTCCTGGAATTTTATCTTCCAGTTTCCCTTGACCAAGGCTCGTGTTAGATAATTGTCGTCATCTGCATTCAAAGGACCGAGGAGACCGAAGAAGAAGGTTTCGTTGAGGTAGCCGGCTAACAACGCTGGATCCTGGAGGATGGTGGTTCTGTAGAGACTGGTGCGGCCACTAATCACCGCGACGCCGCCGTCAATGGCGTTCGACGCTCTATGCTCAAAGTTGTGTCTTTCCAGGTACAACGCGCCCATGACGTTCCAGAACCCGCGGAAGAGGCCGATGCCTGAGTGGCGGATGACATGCTTCCTTGTGCCTACCCCTCCGACTCGTCGGTCCTCCTCGAAGGGTGCGAGCGCGGCGCGGAGGAAGCTGAGTGACGCCCAGACCACATGGTCGTCGCATAGAACGGTAATATGGGTTGTGATAGAGGCAATGGCAAGCGCAACCTGGCATCGCTTGTTCGCCTCGTCGGAATGTGATACTTTGAAGTGAATGTGTGGATAGCCGCTGATGAACGGGGCTATGATTGACCATGCCTGCTTTTCTTGCTCTTTACCCACCGCGACAATATGTATCACTTTGGGAGAGTTTTGCACGATTGATGCGATGCAACGGCTGAAGGCTGGCGCCTCTGGGCAGCAAGTTGGGATAACAACAGTGCAATCTTTCCGCTTCAGTCTTGGATGCTTGGAGAGCGGTGATGGACGATAGCGAAAATAACTGAACACGTGTACAACAAATCTCAAGTATCGAAAGACGAACAGGGAGATGAAGAGAAGGTTGGGATGCCGGATAATGAGGGAGAGAGCAGACCTGAACGGCTGGAAAAATGCCAATTGGGTCTCCATTCTAGAAGACGTATGTCAGCAGCCAGATCGTGGTGAATGTTGTTGAGAGAAACGGGGTAGGAAGATATACGAGTGATGAGGCCGTGTGCAATTCCGGATGCAGACAGATAAAATCCAGGTGAACTGTGATTGAGTAGAACGTGGACCGATGGAGGAAAGGAAGGAAAGTTGAGGATATCGTCTGTCTGAGTACGAGGCAGGACCAAGTCAATGCGACTGCTACGCCGCAAGCCCTTATCATTGTGACCGTGTATAGACCTGGACAATAGAGCAGCAGCGTCGAAGAAAGAGGTTATCGTGGACAAAGGAAGAGAGAGACAATACATGCTTTGGCGGGTGGAGAGGTTGAGGGAATAGTCCCGCATGGTCTTTGTGTTCGAACAAAGGCATGATATTCCGAGACAGGGTGCTATGCAACATGTACCAGCAGTGTGTAGAGATCAAGAACAATCCAAGGTGAGAATATGAGAGTGAGGCGTCGACAATGGAAAAGTGAGAACTGGATGAACGCTGTAGCGACAATGAGAATGTGGCAGGGGGCGCTAAGCGCAAACAGGCAAAGCCTCGTACGGCAAAGTGCAGAACGCCCAATACGGTGGAGGTCAAATGATCCGAGCGCACATCCGCAAAGGTAAACCTGATAAGAAATATGTACGTGCATTATAGCAGAAGTAACCACTAGTAGACTCGCAGCTAACGATTTGCTTCGCACAAGGGAGCCATAGCCCTCGAGTCCACCACATTTAGGCAGAGGAAACCTTTATGACCTCGCTTGGACGCCGCGCTATGCAAGCAATAAAACTGCAGAAAGATCATTCAAAGGTCATGCTGATCTCATCGCGGCCCTTACCAAACCCGTCATCATCATCCGCCCAAGCGTTGCGCTCGAGGTTCAACTCGGATGCCGACGTCGAGGGTCCGCCCGGATTGTAACTGCGTGACGGGGGTCGACCCCAGCTCGGCACTGACGGCTCAGTGACGTGTGGCTTCAGATCAGGCCTGGCAAGACTAGGGACCTTGGCGCTTTCGGGCCTAGGTGAGGCTGACGGTGCCAGGCCGAGAGGCGGTAACGTGCTGGCTAGCTCCCTGGGTTCTGAAAAAGCGTTCGATGAGCGTCGGTTCGGATCGGGGGAACCTTGAGGCGACCTTTGTGGAGTGATGCGAGGAGATCGTTGGGGACTTGTCATCGAGGCCGGTCTCAAGGATGAAGATCTTGCAGGCCGGACAGGGGCAGGTTGTTTGACAGGCTCGAACGAAACGTCAACCTCCTCTGGTCGGGGCGGGAGGTTTAGCCGGGCGAGTTCCTCCGGCCTCATTCCAGAAGGGAGACGCAGATACTCCACGTGCTTCTCGCCATCCTTGCTGATAGACGTGATTTGCATCGGGGGCAAGGTGCTGTCCAGCTCCCGCACATCGATCATCTCCCCGGCCAACTCTCTTCGAATCGCTTCGATATCGAACAAGACATTGCCGTTGGGGTCCGCACCTGCGTCGGGAGCAGTGCTGCCGTTCCGCTTGTGGTTCATGTCGTTCGCATTGTAGGTCTCCCAGCCCTTTTTCTCTGCTGGCTTGCCTCGCTTGAACAGCCCGAAGCGTTTCTTCTCCGGCTTCTCTTCAGCCCTCTTGCGAGCCTCTTCAATCTCCGAGATCAGCTCTCGCTGCCTCTGGGCATGATTCTCAGGATCGGGATCCTCGATCTCAGTGAATTCGTCGCTCTCGACTTCCCAGCCGACCTCGCGGAGCAGTCTAGGCATGGCAGCACGGTAAGCCATGTGGCCCTTAACCCATGAGCTTACATCGATGTTTTCCACGCCGGGCACTCCCTGCACTGGTGCAAGCCCAGCTACGGCCATAATGCCGCCAGCCGTCATGCGAAACAGGTATCCCAGGATCCAATCACCGGAAGAGTAGCCGTTCAGAAATCTGCCAGAGACGACTGAGCGGGCTCGCAAATACTCGTCTTTACTGGCCACCACAGGGGAGCCGAACATGTACACGTTCTGGATCAAGCCGTACGCACCACGATGAGACAGCTCCTTCAAGCATGAGAAGATGACCCGCGACCCGAGCGAGAAGCCTACCAGGGTGATCGGTCTCTGCCCTAGATGTCGGTCGATCAGAGAATCCGCCAAGATGAGGCCTGCAGCAGTGGCACGGTCGAGCGAGACGCTCCACGGGTTGTCAATCAGGTACGCCAACTTTGACAGCACCACTGGCAGCTGGAGCGCAGCCATAAGGGTGATTAGTATAGTGCTTCCAAGGATCTGTTGAACTGTTTGTGTCAAGGCTTCGGTTGCAAGAATGTTAATCGTGTCACCCATCGATCGGAGCATTTCCGGCTCCCAGAGCAGCGAATATATGTCCCCCATGATGGGGTCGACCGTGCTGTATGGCAGCCGGACATCATCAACTTTGCCGGTCATCCAACCTGATATGGTCAGGATAAGGTTCAATCTCTTATTGTTGTGCAACGGTCGATATTCGAAGGTCTTGACACTGCCTGTTCTCCGATCTGCAGCTCGAACTGCGATGGTGCCACCAGCTGCTGTGGCAGCGGATGTGATCAATGCAGCTCCGCCGACGCCCCCAAGGAACCCTGCGGTACCCGTGACACCGATCGTTGTGAAACCAGCGGCTAGACCAGCCCCAATAAGAGGTGCGAGCAGACCGGCGGATAGCCCAATGACAAGGCCTCCACCGACAGTCGCCAGACCCATGAACATGTATTTCTTCTTCAAGGCACGTTTTCGTCGCCTCTCCATGTTATCGGACTCATCCCAATTCTCTCTGGCCTCTGCTTCTTGCATCTCGAGCGCGTCCATGACCCTTTTCTCGAAGCGACAAATCTGCATCCAGGTGATGCTCATGGTTGAAGCAACCCGTTCGAGCAAACGTCTTGAGCGAGCGTCATATTGACCATCCGAGATGAGGACCAGAAATAAGTCACACAAGACAGTCCATCGCAGGTCGAGGTCAATTTCTTTTGTATGGGGCATATCTTCCATGCCCTGAACTTCAGGGACTTCCTCGCCGTCCTGGACCTCCGTCATTGATGTCTCTGGATCTTTGGGAGCAGGAGAGGACGCTGTCGAATCCCGAACTCCAGATGCATCTGGCTTTGATGACTCGACAACCACCTCGTCAGCCATAGGATTATTCACCTTCGCGTTAAGCATGAGAGGAGCGACCAGATCAGACGGCTGCACGCCGTGCTCGGCAAGCTGTTCGATCATGATCTGCTCTGCAGGGTTGATGTCCATGTGGGCGTAGAGCCGCACCATCATCTTCTGACCCCACATATCCATGCTCTCTATAGACTTCACCAACTCTTTCCGTGCAGACTTGGTCTTCTCCAGTGCACTGAGCGCCTCCAACATCTTATGGATGGTCAGCCGGACCACTCCGACGTAGGCTATCCGTTGTCCTTCGGTCAGAAGATCCTTGGTGGCCTCCAGCTGGGTTAAAGTATCCCGCTGCTCGTCATCATCATTGTCCTGGTCGTCCGTCGCCGGCAGCTTTGGCCCGTTCTTGAATAGATAATTCGTCTCCTCGTCCATACTCGTGGCAGATTGGGCGTCGTCATCTAGCTGAACTCTCGTATATCCCTTTCCTGCGCCCCCCATGCCCGAATACGGATTTGAGTCTTCTTCATTCTCCTTGTGACCCTTTGCGACTAGACGTCCATTGTCGTCATATATGTCGAATTCGTCGATGGCTGGCATCGCCTGCCACTCTACCTCCTCCTCGTCTTCATCCTCCGACTGTGTGGGTGCCGAGATTTGTCTTTGGTGGGAATATTCGGAGGCTGCGGCGCTCTTCGGCTTCTGATCGCGCTTTGGTATGACTGTGCCTGGTGCTTGAGAGGCCCTTGGAGATGTGGCACTGGTTGACTCTACTGTACCCTTCGAATCGGAAGTTGAGACGAGGTTCAAAGGCGGCATGTCCTCTGGCCTCTTCCCCTCGGTCTGTCCCACCCCGTCTACATTGTGCTCGTCTTTCGTCTCTTTCGCTGGTTCGCTTTTCGACGAGTCTATTGAGTCTGCAGGGGGTTCGGGAATCGATCGTGGTATCTGAGCCCGCTCGACCGGCTCCCTAGCTTCGTGTGCACCATCGCTCGACTTGTTCCCAGCGCCCTCCTTCGCATTCGCAACGGTGGTAGAGCCATCTGTAGCACCTTCGGCATCGTGAAATGTATCGGCATCGTTCTCACTGTCGTCCGAATCCGCTGGTGGGGCTCGTCTCACCGGCTTTCTGGGTAGACCGAAGTCATCGAGGTCGGTTTCAGCTGCGGCCGGCAAGGCGACGCCAGCTTTGGCAGCTGTGGCCCCTCCAAGGGCTGAATCTGTGGTACCGTACCCTTCCTGAGGACTGTCTCCAGCGGTCATAATGCCACATCTGCGGAGCGGTGAGCGTGAGACATATGTCTCAAGGCCACCTGTGGAAGACTCGAATGTGGCTGCTTGCGATGGAGAACAAAGACGTCCGGGACCAGATCTAACGTATATTAGGACACAGATAGTGCCCCAAGTATTCTCCAGTCGCACGGTTACTACCACACAGCAATGAAAAGCAGATAGAATTGCGTTTCATGTCACGACATCAATTACGACTCCGCCGAGAGCGAGGAAAGTGACTTTGGTGGGTCCCCCGTTCAGCGCAGCCTGTGGCGATGCCGCTTTAAACCGGCAGCCATTGCAGCTCTCAGCGCATGCGAGCAGTTGCGGTTCAAGGCACTCTGTCCAGAGGAAAACCATATTCATAAGCATGCCATGGAAGAATATTATGGTTGCTCGCTCACAACGTATCTGCTCTTCTTCGAGGATGTGCTGGTGACTCTGGGGTATTTGGACCCATAAAGTTACAAACCGTCCAAAGTCACCTGCAATTCATGTTCGCTTCTTGTACGAGGTACTGAGTTGCCGGATGCACCTTGCCAGTAGTTCAACAGATATTGACCTGATTCTTCGATCAAGTAGCACTGCAGCAGCAGCATTGAGTTGAGAAGCTCTCTCTCGGTTCCTCTCCTGTACATAACCGTGAGTCTTTCCGACCCAGGCCTGACACTCTTTGATGCAGAAGCGCTCGAACACCGACCAATGCCATTCAGATGACCCCGAGGACAACGCAGGCTCGACTTTCGCAAGAGCCTACTCATATCTTCATTTCGACTTCGTGAACTGCTCAAGCGCCGAAAAGTCGCCCTCGTCGAACTTGGCCCAAACCGCCTCGATCCTCGCCCTCCGCTCCAAAGCAGTCTCCCTGTTATTTCTGCTCTTCTTCGTACGTTCGCCCGATAAACATCTGTTAACTTCTCGCTTGATATCGTTGCAGCCTCCCGTGGCTTTGTAGAGGAAGCCGCGGGCGTGGCACTCGTCGAGGGCGTTCATGATCTCCTCGCAGCCTGTGGTACAATGTGTCAGAACCAATTCATCTGGCGACCCCGTTGTTTCGTATGCGAAAATGATCCTGAGAGAGCAAAAGCAGGTGTAACGCAAGCTCGATCGCAACACATTTCGCCTCGAGCAAACCATCATGCGACTCGACAAGAGCTTGATTGCCACATACCGACATTGTCTTTCGTATGCAGATGGGAATGCATCTTCGTGGAGACTCGTCTCCAATATTGGTCATGCGGTTCGAGCCACGCCCACATCTGACCGTCGACGAGAGGGGGCGGAAAGGAGATTGACGGCCTGGATCAAGAAGGATGAACGAGTGTTCCGTGTTGGAGATCGAAGCTAAAGCAGCCTTGCGTCCCTGACGGCAGCCTTGCATGACGCTAAGATAAGATATAGATTAGATTCCTGTCACTTTTTTTCGGTGCCACTCCGCAAATATGTACAGTACGTGCTCGAGATTGTCTGGTCCCTCCTCCATTTCGCAGCCTGCCACCCACCAAGATGTCAATGACACTAGCGACCACGTGGGTGCGTAGGGGTGTCGCGGCCCAATTCCCTCAGAAATACCAAGTCGACGAAGCAGAACTCAGTCGAATATCGAAACTCGCCCGCCTTCAGTTAGAGGATGCACAGCAAGATCTGCTCGATGCGCAGAATGGCAAAGATGCCGACCCCGACAACAACTCGGAAGATTCAGACTCGGAAGCCGGTGTAGCTACGGGCGAAGTCTCCGGAAAGGCTAAGACTCCAGTAACCGAGGAAGATGACTTGAAGGAATACAACCTCGACGACTACGACGACGACCCGGTGGACGAGCAAGGCGAAAAATTCTCCATGTTTGGGAACGTCGGCTCGCTCGCGTACCACGCGCCGCACGAGCAGGACCCTTACATCGTCCTACCGGAGGGCGAGCAAGATTCGGAAGACGAAAGAGAAGATTTACAGATATTGGCTTCCGACAATTTAATCCTGGCAGCAAAGGTCGAGGACGAAGTAGCGCAGCTGGAAGTCTTCGTTTACGAAGATGAAGCGGACAACCTCTACGTCCACCATGATATCATGCTGCCTGCCGTACCGCTCTGCGTGGAGTGGATCAACGTTCCTGTGGGCAAAGGATCAGAGTCGCGGTCAGAAGGCAACTTCGTGGCCATCGGTACAATGAACCCGGAGATCGAGGTTTGGGACCTCGATGTCGTGGATAGCATGTATCCGAATGCGATATTGGGACAAGAGCCGGAAGAACAACCAGACACAGAGCAGAACGGAGAAGGCAGCAGTTCGAAGACCAACAAGAAGAAGTCGAAGAAGAAGAAAAAGAAACCCAAAGCGAACGACGAATACCATGTGGATGCTGTACTTGCGCTGGCTGCCAACCGTCATCATCGGAACCTTCTTGCCTCGGCGTCAGCCGATAAGACAGTCAAGCTATGGGATCTGAATACTGGGATGTGCGCGAAATCATACACAATGCACAGCGGCAAGGTGTGCGCTCTTGACTGGCATCCGACAGAGTCAACAATTCTCTTGAGCGGAAGCTACGACCGAACAGTAATTGCGACGGACATGCGAGCACCAGACGCGCAAGCACCGAAATGGGTCGTGGAGGCCGACGTCGAGAAAGTGAGGTGGGATATCCATGACCCGAACTTCTTCTACGTCACCACAGAGGCAGGAACTGTCCACTACTTCGATGCCCGGGTTGTCCCTTCGTCTCACGATAAACCCTCCAAGCCTGTGTGGACGCTCCAGGCCCACGACGGAGCGGTCAGTGCCTTCGATATCAATCCTACGGTGCCCGGCCTGCTGGCGACGGGCTCGGATGATAAGAAAGTCAAATTATGGAATGTCCAGGACAACAAACCAAACATGGTGATCTCGAGGAATCTTGACGTAGGAAGGATTTTTGCGACACAGTTTGCACCTGATACGGAGGTAGCGTTCAGGTTGTCAGTGGCGGGGAGTAAAGGTCGATTGCAAGTGTGGGACATCAGCACCAATCCGAGTGTTAGGAAAGTGTTTGCTGGGAGAGTTCAACTGCCAGAATCCGACGGCAAAGAAAGATTGGTCGGCGCCAGCCTGAGTGACCATGAGAGTGACGACGAGGAGGATGAGGAAGAGGCAGACAATGCCGCCAGGGCAGGCGGCCAGGATGGCTGGGAGTCGATGGATGAGGATTGATCAGCTCTAGTGGACAAGGCTGAGATGAAGTGAAAGTCCTTTATCATGAACGGTTGTTCGCAGCATGATGCCTGATACCAGAGTAAAGTAACGCAATGATTAGGCACGACTTAGGAGACCAGATCAAACCGACGGTCAAACACCCGGAGACAATGGATTGATTAGGCGTCTTTACAATAGCTACAATCTATCGCAAATCCCTCAAGTACCTGCTTGTACGGACTAATTAACTAGGTAGTACCTGTACTTAAGGCAGTGAATCACTGGCCGTACTTTGTGCGATGTGTTTTAAGGTTACCTGAATTACCTAATTACCTAAAATTTAGGCAGCAACCGTGACGCCCCCAATCTCACTGCTCGAGCACAACTGAACACGCCTAGACCAAGACCCCCAAGTGACGCCCGTGACGGCTCTGAGAAAGCACCCAGCCGCCCTCCCTAAGGAACCCCTCCAAAGAGCCTGGGAGCCAAACTATCCGTCTCTATTTTCTTTCTCCAAGCTTGCGCGCGCCCTTCCCCCAACACCTAACTTCACCCGCCACGCCACGCCCAATGCTTCGCACCAAGCCAGGACCCCGACATTATTTCCATCCCTGATCGCAACACAATTGGAAAACAACAAACGACCACCATCTCTAATCTCTCCAATCCATCTCCCCTATCATCATCTGCGTCGACATCATCGCCCACCTTTCAATATGCCAGGCGGAGACCACACGGAAGGGACAAACACGCCTGAACCTGTGGAAAAGGGCTTCGCCACGCTGAATCAGTTGCAGTAAGTGGGCGGGCAATCCTCAGTGCCCGTGACATTGAGGTCCCGGCAGATCCGAGAAATGATACTAACATGACTTATGAAAGGATTGGAGTGAAGGCCTTTGTCGAAAAGGTGAGTTTTCGTTGAGTTGATTTCTGGGTTTCTTCACGGGCTTCGCGTTCACGTGACTTTTCACGATACCTACATAATGTCCAAGTATGTTTGCAAAAAGTACGTCTCTTACTGACCGGTGGGCAAATTGTGCAGAATGGAGAACCCAGAAAGGCAGAGATCTTGTCGATAAAGCAGAGGAATTCAGCCTTGACCTTCTAGTATGTCTGCCACTACGACGGACCCGTCTTCGTGTCTTTGCTTGTATGACCTGACAAGAATGGGGGTAGCGTCCACTATGTCGAATTCAACAAACGTCTCGACGGTACGCATTCTGTTCCCCTGCATCACCAAATGCCTTTCCATGCACTAACATCCCCCTAGAATGGGTCACGGCCGACCGCATCGATCTCTCCCAGGAAGTCGAATGGCCTGTGCCCGAAAAGCCCGAGAAGAAGAAAACGACCGTCACGACAAAAGGCCCTCCGTCCAAAGCTGCCGCCGCCGCAAAATCCATAACCACAAAGGTCGCAGGTCGGGCGAGGACAGAGTCTCGCGCCGGCTCCGCGACGCCTGACTTGCTCAGCAGTAAAGCCGGGAATGATAGGAAACGTCCTGTCCCCTCAAAAGCCGGTGGTAAAGAGAATAGAGAGGAAGGGCTCGCTCCAGATGGCGATGCCTCGCTCATGGCCACTCAGGAAGGCACGCCCTTGCCAATCCTCGGCCCTGACGAAGGCACGCAAGACACTGAAATGCCGGACGTGACGAAAACAGAAGAAAAGGTAGCCCCGATCATGGAACCAGAGGAAGAAATCGAGAAGCTCCGCACGGGGGGCTCGATGGTACAGCATCATGCGCAACTCCACTTGGTCCGGAACCTGGATAAGATTCAAATGGGCAAGCATACCATTGAGCCATGGTATTTTTCCCCTTATCCGCAGGAGTTCAGCGATGTCGATCTCGTCTACGTCGATGAGTTCTGCTTGTCTTATTTCTCGTCCAAGAAGGCGTTCGAGAGACACCGGACCAAGTGCGAATTGCGGCATCCTCCGGGCAACGAGATCTATCGCGATGACTTTGTGAGCTTCTTCGAGGTGGACGGACGGCGACAGCGGACCTGGTGTCGGAATCTGTGTCTGTTGTCCAAGCTGTTCTTGGATCACAAGACACTATATTACGACGTCGACCCATTTCTGTTCTACTGCATGGTGACTCGCTCGGAGCATGGGTGTCATCTAGTCGGCTACTTCAGCAAGGAGAAGGAGTCAGCAGAGGGGTACAATGTCGCTTGTATTCTGACCTTGCCGCAATACCAGCGACAGGGACTGGGAAGGTTGCTAATTGCCTTCTCGTATGAGCTGAGCAAGCGAGAGGGCAAGCTCGGTTCGCCAGAAAAGCCGCTTTCTGATCTAGGCCTGCTGGGATATCGGCAGTACTGGAAGGAGGTGCTCATTGAATTGCTCTCGGATCCAGCTCGACTGCCTCCCCCGGGCTCTGCCTCTCACACGCCAACTTCAGAGCACCTCCATCCTCATTCATCCTTGGGATTTAACGGGCCCAACTCTCAGTACTCAACAAGCATCGCAGAGATAGCGAGTCTGACGTCAATGACCGAGAAGGATGTACATGAACAATTGGAGGTGCTGAAGTTGCTGCGATATCACAAGGGTGCGTGGATTATCGTCGTCCGCGACGAGCTGCTAGAGTGGCAGGAGCAGCGGCGCCAGAAGGAGAAGATCAAGGGTGCCAGAAAGATCGACCCGAGCAGGCTGAACTGGAAGCCACCTGTTTTCACCGCCAGCAGCCGAACCTGGAACTGGTAATGGGCCGTTTCTAAAATTCCAAATTAGCGAGGGGTTGGGGGCGTCTTTGCTTGGGTGGATAACGTACATGATCATGTTGGCAACGGGCGCTGGTCGCTCGTGCATTCACAAAGCGTGTT